AGAAACTTCCTAAGGCCTTCTATCAGGATTAGCTAACCCCCACCTGCCCCTGCCCCTGCCCTGCTCCATGTTGGTGCTAAACTTACTGAGTTTCTGAACTGCTATTGGTGCACCTTCGTCAGAGTACACAAGCCACCCCATCCCAGATTTTCTCTGTGTGTGCCTTTTCTTCATTTCCTGTCATCCCAGTTAGGTCAATCCCTACATTGTGAAAGAGGAAGAGTGGGGTTCCAGGATCTCCTTCAAGAGTACATTTATGATAAGACAACTTCCTACCAGTAATCCCCACCCATTAAAGTTTCCAAATACCACCCAAAAGTGCCAGGTAAAAGAGACCAAGCCTTTTGGGTCTTTGGAGCCTTTGATGTCCAACCCACAGCACATATATAGTGCATGAGTCCTGCCAGATACAGGGACTGGTGGCCAGTCAACAAGCTGGAAACAGCCCACAGCTCAGCTCCTTGTGATCTGGTAGTGTGCTCACACTGTATGTGGTGGCTTCAGTCTTCTGCTGGAGGGCAGGTTTCAAGTCTTACTCAGCTCTGGGACTTCACAGAAGCTGGCATGTGCATTGAGTTGCTAAGCCAGCTGACCTCTTTGACAATGGAGTAGGAAGAATTTACATTGTCCGTGGTAAGGTGGGCACATCTCTAAGATGAGAATCCACATCCTATCCATCCCACTTTCAGGTTCTCTGCTTTCTAGTGCATCCCCAGCTGCGGAGAACTCCAGAATCAGTTTATAATAACAGCCTAACCTTCATCTCACTTTCCCCATTTATACACAAAAGAAAGTGACACATTAGTGCCTGGATCCCCAGTTCAGTTTGAGTTCTTTTAATGATGGATTTTTTTTTTTTTTTTTTTTTTTTTTTTTTGAAGTGGTGTGTTTTTACATCCCAAGTATCCCACAAATCCCTATGTTGGAGTCTCACTAACACTGAGAGGTAAAGCCTGGGCCTCAACTGTCACCATCTTATTCCTTAAGACCACTTCCTCCTTGGTGCATTGTCTGAATCCACACAGACACCAAGAGCCTCTAAAGCCTGGGTGCTGCATACCATTCCATGAGGGCAAGCCCTTTCCAGAGACTTGACAACCTGGTACCACGTCCTCCACAATCACCCTCCCGTTCCAGCAGTTTATCTCAGGTGTCAGAGAAGAATGAAGCTTTGCTCTTGCACATTCCAACTCCAGCAACTGGAGGGGAAATCTTCAGCAAAGTCAGCTGGCATGTGGAAAGCCAGGCTGGCCCCTTGGCTGGGCAGTCACCTGGCCAGCCCCTGTGAACTTACTCCAGGCTGCCAGAGCTATGAACACAGCTAGATAAGAACCCTTTGGAAGATCTCTGGGGCAACCTGTATCTGAAGTATATATTCTGACAATCCTGGGAATGGGATAGAACAGCTCAGGTCAAAAGTCGTAGGGCTGGCATTCAGGAGGTGAGTGACTTAACCATGCCTGCAGGGCAAGAGAGACCTGGTGGATTGTGAAGAAGTAGCCTGGAAGGATTTATGAGAGTGACGTCACCCTTCTCCTCACTAACCAGAAACTAATGGCTCTGTGACCTCAGACAAACCTTTGTCCTCTCTGGAACTATTTCCTACCTCCAAAATGGACAGGGTAGGGATAGGACCAGACAAATGGTCAAGACCTTTCTACAAGCAAGGATCTTTGACCCAGATTTTTACACATGACCAGAGAAGAAGAATAATTACTGGTTGTTTTCTTTCCCTGGGGCTGTGTGCTTTTAACATTCTAACCATGTGATCTTCCAGGAGAAACCCTCCCACCCCACCCCAAAGCCCTAGACTGTGTTAGAAATCAGGGATTACAAAATCCTTGATAATTTAAATTTCTTCAAAAATATTTAATCTGTGTGTGTGTGTGTGTGTACCTAAGTCTATGTGTGTGCACCCTGTGCATGTAAGAACCCAAAAAGTTCAGAAAAAGGCACTGAGTTCCTTGGAAATGGAGTTATAGTTTTGAGCCTATGGGTGCTAGGAGTCAAACCCAGGTCTTCTGTAAGAACAGTTAAGTGCTCTTAACCACTGAGCAAGCTCTCCAGCCCCATGGTAATTCAATTTTCTATTTCTGCTTCAGCTCCCTCCCCAATCTCTACCCTCTCCTTAACAATCCCAACACTGGGGCCCACCATGATCTCATCCCCCACTCCCCCACCCCCTCACCCCCCACCCCTGTTTATTTGTCAAGCATTTTCCCCGGTGCCAGATTCTGCCTGCTCTGAAGCTAATGAGACTATCAATGTGGCTAGTTCTCAGGCCATTCAGTCTTATAGCTGGAGGGACTCCATCAGTCAACTGTGGGACATCCAGTACCACCTGGGAAAGAGCACCCAGGAAGGGCACTCAATCCAATTCAGAGCAAGGAACACTATCAGCAATCACCCACAGCCAGTGGGCCTCCTTGGAGAGGCTGCATCCATGCTCAGGGAAAGCCAGGCATGTCTGGGAGCTGCAGCAGCAGCAGTGAGAAGAATCCTGGGACCAGCAGGGTACAGAAACGGGGTGAATGTTACACTTCCTCAACACTTGATAGACCCATCCCATGGAGAGTCTCACACAACTAAGCCTCTGTTTTGAACTGCAGAGCCAGCTCATTACTGTTAGACTCTCTGCACTCCCTCAGATCATCTCTCAAAAAAGTTCCCTGTGCCAAGACCTGAGTTAAAGGTCTTCTTCTGAGGGAAACTCCAAGTGTAGAGGAGGCTGTTAAGAAACTGACACATCCCAGCAGGGGAATAGTTCAGGAGGTTCCACATGGGGTGGGGGGAGATGTGGTAGGAATTTGAAAATATACTTATTGATCCCAGAACTATGTCACAGGACTCTAGCTTCCTTCTCTGGCCGGGTAAAACATTTATGCCATCTTCTCCCAAAGATGCTGGAAGAGGAGAAAGAACTGCAAACAGATTTTTCCGTGTTCCTAAGAGATGTCACACAGCAGTCATCTTCAAGCCTCCTATGCCCAAGAAGTCAACTCACTGACAAAAGGAAATTCTCAACACACTTTAGCACCTTAAGTGATATGGATTTATCTAAATATCAAAGAAACGATATCTTAAAAAAGGAATATGACAAAGACACCAGATACTAGAATCAGCTGAAATATCTAAACACTGAGATACACACAGTGTGCCCATAAGCTGCTCCAGAGCCCAGTCAACCTTGGGAACCCAGTTTCCTTCTCATGGGATAGTGGTCAGTACCATGAGAAGGTTCAGTGAGAGAAGGAATGCGTGTAGAACTGGGGTCTGGCAACTGGAAGTACTTAATTGTAAAGTGGTGGGAGGTGATAAAAAGCAGAAAGCACTATACAAGGGCAAGGCTAACCCAATCCATAAAAAAATCCTAAATGGCCCCATACAGGGACTGTATCAGTTTCCCCAGAACAGGGACCCAATTGGATAGCACCAGGAACCTAGAGGTTGCTTAGGCAGCACATCAGCCTAGCTGGGCAGGCCAGGTTGGGACAGCACTGACACAGCAGGCAGCAAGCAACACAACAGGTTAAGAGGGCTTACAGGTTTGGTTGGTTTAGAGGATGGAGCTGCAGGACAGCACAAGGTGGTATCTCAGGGCCAGGGGTTCTTCCTACCCATCCCCCCTAGTGCACAGAGGAATGTCCCCAACAAGGTTTCTCAACATACTTCACAGTCCTTCCTGGTATACGAATGTCCTTCCCCCTCGTGGTTCATTTGTACTTACATTTCAGTGGGTTCCGCTGCTTATCTGCTGTCTCTCATGGAACTCAGAACTACCCCCCCCCCACACACACACACCCCGCTGGCTTCAAGGGAGCTAATGGCTTGACCAGGGTGGACAGAGCATGTTAATTTTGAGAGAAAGCTGAGGCTTTGATTCTTGGGTATGAAACTCTGCAGAGGAAAGGTTACGGATCTCATGGCTGGGCCCCAGCAGTCAACCTCCATTCACTTCCCTTTCCCTTCTTTCCCTCCTACTCATGCCCTTAATCAACCATGGTGCAGTATTCCTATCACCCAGGCCAGCACCCAGACTCCTGGATAGTTAGTTCCCCAGAGGAGAGCTCAGAGCAGACATCCCCTGACCTTGCCTAGGCAGAGGAGGAATGCCTCTGAACAGCAAGAAAGACCTCAGCTCACCCTAGACTGTCAAACACGTCTTTGAGGCACTGCAGGAAGACGACCTCAAAGGAAACCGCCAGGGACTAGTAATGCCACCGGACCAGTTTGCAAGGTGCCTGGGAGTGCTCAGAGCTGCCCAGATAAGCACTGACAGGAGGGAAAACAGGAAGCTCTGGTCCCAGCTCTGGTCTATATACAAAGAAATGGGGATAACAGCCCAGCTCTCATGCTTCCTGGGGCCTGGGAGAAGCAGAGAAGGGTGCAAGAGCTCTATGGGAGAATGCAGTGAACTCCAAACAGGTGCTACAAACAAAGCTGTGTCGCCGTGTATTCCGGGGACCTGCAAGTTTTGATAACTGGGCTCCACCATGGGCACAAATGTTCTTTTCTGCATTTCTGGTCTTCATATTTATTCTCATTACTCAGAATCAAGTACAGGCTGTCACTAAACGGAGTCTGGTAGCAATCACTCTGCTTGGGGGCTTTTGCACACGGGACTGAGCTAGAGATCCAGCTTGAAGACTCCCCTGCCGGTCTGTAGTCACTTCCCTGTGACTCTGTGCAAGCCACTCTGGGAAACCACCCCTCCCTCAGGAGAGGCAGCTTCTTTCTCTCTCAGATCACCATTCAGTTGCAACCATGCTAAGAGATAGGAATCACCTACAAGAACAAGATTCCTGGGAGGTGACCGTGCTGGCTCCCCGGGCACCAGCCCTTGTTGCTGGCTCCTTTCCTCAAGCTTGGGAAAAGGGAAGTAAGGAAAGACAAGGATGGGAAGGATGGGAGGACTATGGGTGGGGGTGGGGTGCCAGGCAGTAAGAGGGAAGGGCCTGAGGCAGGAAGAAAGGGGATAAAAACAAGGACCGGCTTGGTGGAGAAGGAGGGGCTTCAGCGCTGGAGTACCTCAGGCTCCTCCTGGATGGAGCTAGAGGAGGGGCAGCAGGGAACCAGACATCTTCCCGCTGACATTCAGAGTCGCATTCAGAAGTCACTGATTCCTGCAATGTTCAAAAGTTTGAGGAGAGTGAAGGGGTGCCACTAACCACAGGGACAGCTTCCAGGTAAGTGTGACATACTACAGGACGCACTCACTCCTGGCCTCAAATCCCAGCAACTTTCGCACCACTTCCTACCAAGAAGGGAGGCCTTTCCCTTGGAGCCTCGATGGTGACTGAGAGATTGGTGTTCAGCGGAGAGCCATGGGGGGTATCTGCAGTAACTTGGGCTATCATAGCAGGCAGTCACTTCTTGCCCAGGGCCTGCTTAGAAGCTACTCTGCCATTCCCAAGCCAGCCCATAGTCACCAGAGCTACTCTCCAGGCTATCTCAAAAGCACAGCTAGCAAGGCTCGGCCATCCCTCCTACCAAGAGCCAACGTCCAGTGCTGGCATTTGTTAGAACACATATGCGACCAGGAAATGCTTGATTCAAGGGTCCCAAGCTATCTAGGGCTCCTATGTTCTTCTGAAAGCAAGCATAATTCCCTCTTAAGAGAGGGACCCTAGAAATTATTATATGCAGACTAGGAAGTGGCTAGACACTTTTAATGAGAAAAATTGACCCATTCTAGGTATGACTAAATCTTTTTTGACTCCCATTTAATCTCAGCTGAAGTTTTACCCAGGGTCATTCACAATTAGGATGGAGCTGATTAACAGGGGGGTGGGGGCGGTTACAGAGGAGAGCAAACAGCCTTCTTTCAAAAACTCATAGAAGAAGGGCAAGGAAACATTGGGGACTCTGGAAGAGTCAGGTCAGGCATGGAAAGATGAGGGAAGCCTCAGGGAGGCTGGAAAGGCAAAGGCATTGCTAGGACAAGCAAGTGTGCGTGGGTCCTGCAACAGAGTTAAGGAAAAAAGATGATCTCCACATGCTCATTGGCAAGTACCAGGTGGGAGTGGGGTGGGTTTCACTCTGTCTCTCTCTCTGTCTCTATCTATCTATCTATCTATCTATCTATCTATCTATCTATCTCTACAGGACCATCCAGGGACACCCTTTTGCCTTCCGTTCATTCAGGAGCTTCCTCTGAAGCCACAGGTTTTCCCTAGAGACTCGACATGCGGTGGACGCTTCTGCTGCTGCTGCTACTATCTCAGCCGCTGCTACCACTGCTGATGGTGCGAAGCCAGAGCCTGGCAGGACTTTCCCAGGAGACGATCCCCCTATTCCGACTCACTCATCAGGGACCCTGGGACAACCACAACAGCCACACCACCAACTCACCCTGCCAGGGGCTGCCCGCTGCGGGAGCCACAACCCTGATCCTGGCGAACCGCAGCCTGGAGCGCTTGCCTAGCTGCCTGCCACACACACTGCGCATCCTAGATGGCAGCCACAACCTGCTGCGCGCCTTTGGCGGGCCTGAGTTCAGTCGCCTGCCGGAGCTGCACATACTCATCCTGAACCATAACCGCATCTCCACGCTGCACTGGGACCAAGGCGCTCCGCCCATGCTGCAACAGCTCGACCTCAGCCACAACCTGCTGCCAGCGCTGCCCCCCTGCGCGGGGCCCTCGGTGCTCAACCTGCACTCTCTGGCCCTGGCAGGAAATCCACTGCAGGTGCTGCAGCCACGGACCTTCGCCTGTTTTCCTGCGCTGCAGCTTCTCAACCTCTCCTGCAGCGAGCTGAGCCACATCGCCCCGGAGGCATTCGCTCTGGAGGACGGCGGGCCCTTGGTAGCTCTGGAGGTCTTGGACCTGAGCAGCACGCGCCTCGAGCGAGGTGAGTGCAGTGTGCTGGCTACAAGTGCGTCAGGGGGAAGGGGTGGAGGTCAGGGCTGCATTCTTCCAGAGGTGGCCCCAGAAACCAGTCGCGTGGCCCCAAGTGCCCGAAGCTCCACACAGTCACATAACTACTGGCAAACCTCCGGACTACATATGAGGAAACTAAGACCCAGAATGATGGCGTGGTTTGACCAAAGTCTTCTAGCGCCCAATGTTCCCAAATCCAAGCACAAACATTCCACCGGCAGAGCTCAACACCTTAGCCACCATGTTCTGGCTGGATGAAAGGTATGGGAGGGCAAGGTGAAGTTGGCACTAGAGCTTCAAGCATGCCAACCTCCCACCCCCAAATTGTTTCTACAGATGTTGGATTCTTCTAATAGGATGCCGGAGGGAAGTGCCTTTGATTCACCAGCATGCTTTGGTTTTGTTTTACTTTTTTTTTTTTTAAACACTTTATGTGTTTATAACCATTTTTTTCCCCAGCATAATGGTGTGAAGAAGGGTGGCAAGGGGCTAGAGGGAACAAGACATTCAGAAAGGGGAATGTTCTCCATATATTGGGAGATGACAAAACTGAGTTCCTGGGTCCTCCTCCAACCATGTGCCCCTCTCCTCCTTCCTTAAGTTCCTTGAAAGCTCTCCACTCTTAGGAGGCAGCAGAGCTAAGTCTGGCTATTTTGTGTGTGGAGCTTAACCTAAGGCTATGTGACAGCAGCAGGCTTGAAGACAGTGTCCCAGGTAAGGGCTTACAGCTGTGTGGCCTTGGGCCATCCATGCTTCTCTGTTTTTAGGCAACTTGTAAAAAGGGATTAGGCATAGCTGAGGAAGGGCCTTGCCATCTGTTGTACCGATGACCTCCTCCTGTCACTCATTTCTTTATTGCTGTGCTGGTCCCCTGGGCTTTTGTGCCTAGCTATAATGGATAATTCCCTTTGCTTTCAGTTGAGTCTGGGTGGATCAGAAACTTGCCACAGCTCAAGTCCCTCTACCTGAGAAAGATGCCCAGGCTGAAGACACTGGAAGGAGATATTTTCAAGATGACTCCCAACCTGCAGCAGCTGGATTGTCGAGAGTCCCCAGCACTTACTTCTGTCCACACAGAGATCTTTCAAGACACACCTCGTCTACAAGTCCTTCTGTTGCAGAAGTAAGCGGTTCTAAGCCCAGCTCAGTCATAGGACTGATTTTGACCATTATACTGTATTGAATTTTATATGGCATACTAGTCCTCACTGTTTCAGGCCACTGCCCTCCAAAATCCTCTCTGGCCTTCTATTCTCCCTCACCTTCCCCATGGTGTCTTAAGCAGATCCCAGACAGTTTCCCCAGCTTAATAAATAGCAACAAGGAGACATGGATGTTGGGACTTCTCTCCACTGGAACCTCCCCCTTCACCCAAATAATAACCATTTTAATCAATCCCAAGGTATGAGTGGGGCTGGGAGGGAAGGAAACAGGATAGGAAGGTTTACCATGCCGCAGGATCAGGACTTGGTCCTCTTATTCTAGTAGCAGCCGTTGGTTTGACTTCGCAGAGTAGCAGAACACTGAAGATGACCCCAGGCCACCTCTCATCAGTGGGACTTGTCATTTGACATAGAAGCATCCTCTTTTGTCCCTCGTGTTTTGGTAGGGATGGGGATTAGAGGAGCTTCCAAAGCGTGTCCAGTCTCTTCTCCCCAATTTGGTCAAGTTTACAGGGTGTAAGAGCAATTTCCTTTGGGATCTGGGCACCTCAGCCAGCCCCTTACTGGGTGCTTTCATGGTTCCTATTGTTGACCCTAAGCCTAAAATAGCCCTTTTTGTAATATCCAGTTACTTAGCAGTCTGTTCTGTCATTGGCCATTTGTAAAAGATTAAAAGTAGCAGCATTGAACCTTAGTTCTGCGGTGGGGTTCGCTGTCCCCTGACCCACTTGGGCCTAGTGCTTTCCAGAGGATGAATAGCTGCCTCTCAGAGTCCAGAAAGATGGTGTCTTAGAGGCACTACAGGGCTTACTGCATTCTGGATAAAGATGGTGCTATGGCTAGCAATTCCAGGGGAGCCCAGGAGTGCTTCATTTTAGATCTTTTTGCCCAATGCAAGTGCCAAATATGGAACTGTTTTTCCTTAAAAATGAACACTTGTCCTTCACTCGGTAACCAGATACTAAGCATGCATGATGTGTAGGGAAAACATGTGTGGCTCTGACTCCATTGAGCTTGATAAAAATACAAAGTTCAAAGTAAAAAGAGTGAAACACAGGTACTCCCCCTGGGACTTTTCACATGAGGAAAGCAAATTTCTGGACTTAAGATGTCTGTAGAATTGGGGAAGGCAGGGCTAGAGAGGTAGCTCAGAGAAAAAGGTGCACTCTCTAGTGCTCCAGGCATGGTGGTGCACATCTGTAACACCAGCATCCCAGGATGCAGAGTAAGTCCCTTCAGTGTGCTGACCAGTCAGCCCCAGACAACAGCAAACTTCCAGTTCAGTGCAAAGACCCTGACTCAAAAAATAAGGTGGAAGGCAACTGGGGAGGACATCCTGATGTCAACCTCTGACATCCCCAGACACATGCATAGATTCACACGCCCACATGCATATCCTTCCCTACTCTCTCTCGCACACACAGATGATAACACTAACTGGTGGAGGTGATGTGGTGGTGGTGATGGTAATGATTATGGTAGTGATGATGACTGTACCATAATAACGATGCTGGTGAGGCTGCTGATGATGGTCACAACAGTAATGATGCTGATATGGTGCCAGCTTTCAACAAGACCACAGTTTAGTATAGGAAGCAGATGACTGCCACCTAGCACAAGCCACCATGAACCACAGCAGAGGCACACACCCTGTGCTGTGTTATAAAGCAGGTAGTGGTAGTGGTCCATCAGGCTGGATAAGGGAGGCTTCTTCAGGAAGGGCATGAGTCAGCCATAGCCCTGTGCAGCTCATGCTGCCCGTGATGAACTGTAACTGTGAAGGGCAGGGAAGTAAAATCTAAGAGTCAAGGAGCTCAGAGAGTGTGAAGATACCAGGTCAAACATTCTGTCAGACTCCAAGGAGGAAACAGGAGAGAGTCAAGAGTGGATCTGCCATTGTTCTTAGGTGTGAGAAACTGTAAATATGCCTAGAAAAATTCCAGTCCCCATCCCTGTCCCCCATCCCTGTCCCATCCCTGTCCCCCATTCCCGTCCCTTGTTCCTGTCCCCAATCCTGCCTGTGATTGTTCATCTTCACCCATCAAAAGCTTGATGCTTGAAGCCTGATGAGTTTAAGCCAGTGCTGTATTAGCCAGTGTAGACAGAAAGGAGACAGCATTGAGAATTGGGGTTTGTTTTCTCTTACTCTTGGAGACCTAGGCTTGCTCTAGGCTGACCTCCCAGGTGCTAAGAGGTGCATGGAGAGAGGTCCACACCCAGTTGAGGCTCTCTGTAGGTAATCTAGTCCTATGTCAGTTGACCCAGATGAGCCTGCCCAAACCAGGAACTACCAAGCCACCCCAAGAACCCTGTGAATGCAAACAAGGCATCTGTAAGCTTCTATATTTTGGCGCCATCCTCCACCTAACAAGGACTAACTGGTGCATTAAGGGAGACATTATATAAAGTATTGGCATTGTGCCAGCAGTTATGGTCCAACTCTGCACTCAACTGCTTTATTTCTGGCTACATCAAATTTGCTAATATCCTTCTGGCCTAAGTAAGTCACCAAGTTTCAAGGGATAGAGAACTATAGACTAGCTTTGGATGTGGAAAGGAGTGGTCACATTGCAAAGGCACGTGCCTACAGGGATGAGAGGAACTGTGGCCATTTTTACAAAGAGCCTACCATACCCAGCAATGGCAAACCCATTCTGGGCTCTCCCCATCTTTTGTCCCTGGAGTTCAACAGAATATTTGTCCTAGACTCACTCCATTCTCTGGGTCTCTTGGCTTATCCAGTGCTTTCATTAAGAGTTTTGGATTGAGGATGTAAAATGCTTTCCTAATATGGGTGAGGCCCTGGGTTCAATCCCAAGCACTGGTCTATAACAATAGTATCTATTATCTACTTTTTGTGTAGAGACTTGTACTTACTAATGTGTTCATTATTGCAGACTTGTGGTAAAAAGCACTTGGCACGGGGTTATCTTCTCTATTCAATATGAGTTAGCAATGACTGGAGTTGGTTGGCAAAATGGGATGGAGGTCTAAACTCATTTTGGGTTCTACTCGAAGTTCTATTGCTAGTGGAATTGTTTATCTACAATACCACTGTGCCTCTTAGGAACATTTTTTTCCTTTTTGTTTAAGGTTTAATTATTGGGGGCTGGAGATGGCTCAGTGGTTAAGAGAACTGGCTGCTCTTCCAGAGGTCTTGAGTTAAATTCTCAGCAACTACATGGTGGCTCACAACCATATAGTGGGAACTGATGCCCTCTTCTGGTGTAAAAGCATAGTGCAAGTAGAGCAGTCATACATAAAAACAAATTTTAAAATCTTTAAAAAAATTATTTTTATTTTATATGTATGTTTTGCCTGTGTGTGCAGTGCCCATGGAAGCCAGAAAATGTGAGATTCTGTGGAACTAGAATTACAGATGGTTGTGAACCACCATATGGGTGCTGAGAACTGAACCCAGGTCCTTTAGAAGAGCAGCAGCCAGTGCTCCTAACCTCTGGGCCGTCTCTCCAGCCCCTGTGGGAACATTGTAAATCTAATTGCTCATACTGAACCTAAAATCATGACTTAACTGATGTGTGTGTGTGTGTGTGTGTGCGCGCGCGCGCGTGTATGTCATTTCAGCTGCAACTTGAGTTCCTTTGGCCCTTGGATTGTGAATCCCTCCCAGGTCGTGTCTGTCAGCCTCTTTGGCAACCCTCTTGCTTGCAGCTGTGAGCTGGCTTGGCTTTTCATGGATGCAAACAAAACTGTCTTACACAGGTAACACATTTACCAAGCACATGACTGCAAGATGAGATCAGCCTTTCAGAGCCAGAGCTGTCCCAGCTTATGTCTTGCCCATATGACCTTGTGGGCATTCACCCCAATGTAGTCAGACATGGGGGATGAAGGTTCTACTTCTATTCCAGCCAGCCAAAAAAAAAAAAGAGCAAAGAACATGGGAATACTGACGGAGCTTTTAAATGGATGGCGCTCACAATTTCCACTCATACTCATTGGCCATTAGTAGACAGGCCATAGTTAACTGCAAAGGAGGCTGGGAAATGTAGTCTCCATACCTTGTAGAAAAAGGAAAACAAGCTGTACCATTTCTTCATTTTAGATACAAGGGAATGAAGCCCAAACAAGTGAGGTACTTGATAAATTCATGTAGCTGTTGGATGAAGGATGCAGTATGCATCTTCATCTACATCTGCACTCTTAACTACTAGGCCCCTTGACCTCCCAAGATAGCCTAGCTTCCTACTCTTGGCCACTCAGCCTAAGCCCAGTATGCTTACAGAGCTTTCTTGTGGAGCAGGAAACAAATTCTAATGGCATCTCTTGGCTTAGAAGAGCTCCAAATCCCTTGACAGTCAGGGTCTCATTGTGGCATTAAAAACGGTGTTGAGAGCACATGTTAGAGCAAAAAGTCTGGTTTCACTCCACTTCCTACTACAAATATAACTGTGTTACACTCTGTGGGGATAATAGTCCCTACTGCATAGTGCTTCCCAAGCCTATGCTCTGTCATCCGATACCCATGGCATCTTGGGTAATTAGCACCTCTCTCCAGCTCCCTTCTCTGCCCAGAAGAAGGGGTGACAGGATCTTCCCCCAAATGTTTCCTTGGTCAATAAAGTGATGTTAATAGGTCATACCTGGTAGAGATATGTTGGTAGAGGAGACCCCCCCCCCCACATTTTGGATTTAAAACTCCGAGACCAAGTGTCTCCTAATGATTGGTTTTCCCTCCAGGGCAGCAGATACCATGTGTGAGCCCACTTCAGGATCCAAGGTCTCCTTCTCTGGCCCTCTCTCCCTCTTCCAGCTGTCTGATGTGTGCAGGCCAGACCAAAGCACCACTCTCCAGACTTCAAACCCACCCCACTTTGACCATCCAGTTTCTGCACCATGGACACAGGGGCCTTCCATTGGACAGAGCACGACCCTGTCTGTTCAACCTGAAGGAAGCCAACAAAATATCACCAAGGTCCCCTCCCACACCATGGCTTCTCTTACACATGGGTCATGGATGCATAGTGATACCTTAGAAGAAACTGCCCGGTCAACTACTGATTCACTGACAATTTACCATCCCTCCAGGGCTCTGTCTGATGCTGCCAGCATAGGGACAAAGCAGATAACCACACATATCCTTGAGCCCAGTATCTCGCCTGCCTCCACCACACTGCTCAGCAAATATCTTGGACCCTTGCCTACTTCATCAAACCCCAGAAGCATATCTCAGACCAACCAGAGGACACAAGCCACAACCAAGGCTCTCCACACACACCTTCCGCAGGATGAGATTCCAGTCTTACTGTTAGATGATGAGAGCGAGGAGGATGAGACTCACGATCAGGTGGTAGCACCTCACCAGGATGTCTCTTGTGATTACCACCCCTGCAAGCATTTGCAGACCCCATGTACAGAGTTGCAGAGGCGCTTCAGATGCCGCTGCCCTGGTCTCAGTGGGGAAGATACCATCCCAGACCCTCCCAAGCTTCAGGGGGTTTCAGAAATGACCGACACATCAATGCTCATCCACTGGTGTGCCCCCAACTCAGTGGTACACTGGTACCAGATCAACTATGTGGCAGAAGGAGGATCTGGAAACCAGTCAGTAGTGGACATCTACGCTACAGCCCGACAGCACCCCCTGTACAAGCTGTCACCAAGTACCACCTACCATGTGTGTGTACAGGCAGCCAACAGGGCTGGCTTTAGCCAGCAGCAGACCTCAGGCTGGAAGAGGTCATGTGCCACCTTCACAACCAAGCCCAGCTCTGTGGTTATCTTCTGGGGACTGTGTACCTCCAGTGGACTGTTACTAGTTAGCACCCTGGTGCTGTCTGTGTGTCTCTGGAGGCAGCGCTGGAAGCCACACAAGCAGTTCTATGACACAGACCTGGTGGCCTTCAAAAACCCAGCCAGGACTGAGGAAATAACTCAGTGGTAGTGACTTCCCCCATGCACAAGGCCTTGGGTTTGCTCCCAACATGAAAATCAGACACATTTAAGGCCTTGGGTTAATATCTAGCAAACCAAATTAAACAACAGACCAGCATTTGACCACCTGGGGAGGCTCCAGACTGTCAATTATCCCAGCTTCTTTCTTCCAATCAAACCACATTGACAACCTGAGTTCCACCTTCCCCAAAGCCAATGCTTTTCACACACTCAGCACTCTACATTACTTCCATCTGCTCCTCCTCAGCGACTGAGGGTCAACACCAGACAGTCCTACTGGCACCTGTCATTCTGCGTCGTCTCCTTGGGGATTTTCAGCAGATAGTGTCTTCCTCAGCACCCACTGGGAGAAAACAAAGCATTGTAACAAGGAACACAACTTCTTTTGGAAATGCCATCCTCCAAGTTTCTTGCATGGACGTTGCCTTGTGGCCCCTGCCTGGTGGCCAAGGAAGAGCTACTGATTTCCTAAGGATTTATTAGTTGCATTTCAGGGTGTGTCAAAGCATGTTTTCAAGCTTTCCAGTTAAAACTGGCCTTCTGGTAACATCTGTGAAACAGGAAAAGACTATTTGCTTCCAGGGCTTCCTGGGTGTCACTCAAGACTCAATAGACAAAAGTAGCATGAACTATATTGCTTAGACAAGGTCTTACTGTGCTGCCCATACTGGCTTCAAGCTTGGAAACTTCCTGCCTCTCTCTCTCTCCAAATGCTGGGATTACGAGAGTTTGGAGAGGAGGTAAAACTGAACCCACAAAGAGTGCTTGAATCCATCTCTCATCTCCAGGACAGGCTGAAGCACAAAAGCCATGCGGCAGAAGGCAAGCATATCCTAGCTGGATATGAATTACTATACACTTAGGAGTGGCTAAGTATTCAAGCATGTTTTCAACTCCTAAAACATCCCTAGTTTTGTCAAATATATGCTTCAAAAGTTACCAAATCCAAAAGTATGAATTAGTATTGTCCTAAGACAAGAAATTAAACAGCCCCAGTGTTCTTAGCCTACTCTCAAGAATGAATCTAGCTGGGCAGTGGTAGCACATGCCTTTAATCCCAACAGCTCTTGAGAGAGACAGAGGTAGGCAGATCTCTGTGAGTTCCAGGCCAGCCTGGACAGAATATATTGTTTAACAAAAACTGTGAGGACATTTGAACTATTTTGTAAGCATAGAAATGGAAAAATTGTTGACCAGAGCTAGAGCAAAACCCCTCACACTGAGGATACTAAGGGTCAACAATAACCACAATAAGCAAATATAATAAAGCAGAATAAACATCTAACTTTCTTCAGAAATGATTTTCCATCGTTGTATTTGACATTTCTGTGCTCTTACCATCCTGGAAGCTCCAGCCAGCATTCCTGTTTCCACCCTCAACAGCTCCCAGTTAGAAACTGTATGCAGAGTTGAGGCAGGGGCAACCGCCAGCCTTGCCCCGCCCTTCTCTCTTCCCTGGGATTCTGCAGTAAGGTTTAGAATGCTCCAAGGCCAAAGCGGCTATATTTGTTACTTTTCTATTACTGTGACAAAACACATGACCAAGGCACCTTACAGAAATTATTTAGCATGTGTTTCCTGAGGGATCAAGAAACTGTTATGGCCAAGAAGTTGACAGCAGGTAGGTAGGCATAGTTGGAGATGGAAGGTGAAAGTTCAAAAAAAGAATTTTTTTTTTGCAGGGAGAGGCTCTTAGTAAACTTTTTTTTTTTTTAACTTTTATTCTTTGTGGATTTCACATCATTCATTTGGATCCCACCTGTCTTTGTCCCTGTCCCTCCTCATCCACCCTCTGCTCTTATAACCACCCCCCCAAAAACAAAATTTAAAAGAAAAACAAAAACCAGCCAGACATTGGTGGTGTTTAATCCCAGCACTCAGAAGGCAGAGGCAGGTGGATCTCTGAGTTCGAGGCCAAGCTGGTCTACACAGCTAGTTCCAGAACAGGTTCCAAAGCAATACAGAGAAACCCTGTCTTGAAAACAACAAAAGAGGGAAGGAGGGAGGGAGGGCTTGGGGGGAGGGAGGGAGGGAGGGAGAGGGAACTGGGATCGACATGTAAAATAATAATAATAATAAAAAAAAAAACGCTTTGACTCCAAAATTTAAGTTGAAGAACAAGTTACTGGGGAAAAGTATTTCTATTTTTGTTTCCACAGAAAATGAAAAGATGTGGATTCCTTCCAGACTAATGTGGTTTGATCACACCAGACCGCCTGAAACAGAGTACAAGCTGATCCTACATTCCAAACAGCTGGACAAAACAGCCCTACAGACTACAGCTAGGATATCTGAATCTTCTTCGAATCCCCCAAGACAGCGCCCCTTACCAGCAGGAAGTAGTTTGGAAAGAACGACGCCCAAATTCCCAAATATTGTGTATAAATGTTTGTTTTCATTTAATTGGACTTTGTTATATAAAATTAAATAAAAAATACTCTATATGCAAAAAAAAAAAAAAAAAAAAAAAAAGAAAACAACAAAAGAGACTCTTGTGAAAACTGTAGAGTGGCCCATTGAGTCACACAGTTCACCCTAAGAGCTTTCATCTTTACTTGCGTGTGTTCATTCCCATGAGCCATTGCTGATTCAAGGCCTCTGGCAATAATGAGTTCTCACCCGGGCCCCTCTTGGATATCCTGTTGCTGTCCTGTGTCACAGGGATCCTGCAGCTTTGGGTCTGTAAGTTTGCCCCCTTCATATGCTCTATTGGTCCACACATTTGGTGGATTTCGGGTGGGCCAACTCATAGCCCTGGTTGTGGGCCTGGGTGGCAGCTGAACTGTCAGTCCACCAGCTTCCCTCCACTGTCACCATTCAGGTGAGCTCTCCAGCACTGCCTTGGCCAGCCTACCCAATGCCGCCTGCAGCAAGGAGCTCTCAGGCCCTCGCTGGCTCACCCATTAACATCAACAGACCCCAGGTGCAGCAGGACCATGAACCCAGACATGGCCCTTGGCAGCAGCCCTGGCCCAGGTGGCAGCTCAGGCCACCTAGATCAGTTATGGCCATGGTATCAGCATGGCCCTCGGACACCAACATGGTCTCACGTGGCTGACCAGACCCCAGGCATCCACATGGCACTTGGCAGTAACAGAACCAGACATCAAATCAACTTAGACCCTGGCTGCTGTAGAGCCACAGACGTATATATGGTCCTTGGCAGCAGCCCTGGGTGACAGCTCAGGCCACTCAGTTCACCATGGCACTGGTGACATGGCCCTGGATAACCACATGACCATAGGTTGCAGCCTAGACCCCAGGCATCAGTGTGACCATTGGTGACAACATGGGCCATGAACATCAATATAGACCCTGGCTGTGATAGGACCACTGACCCAGATATGGTCCTCAGCAGTAGCCTGGGCTGGATGTCACCATGGCCCCAGGTGCCAGTGCACACCACTTGGATCTTCATGGTCCCTATGGCAGCATGGTCCCCAGACACTAATCTGATCCTAAGTGGTGGCCCAGACTAGAGGCCTCTGCAAACCCCCAGTGACCACAGGAGCCACCCATATTTGCCTCCTCAGCTGATTTAGGACCAAGATTGGCCCTTGGCAATAGCCAAGGTCCAGACATCACCTTGGACTCAGTTGGCAAGCAGGCCTTTCACATTAGCCTGTTCTTCAACAACCCTCCCCTCTTCAGATCTGGCTCTCTCCCCACACTGTACTCACTCATCATAACGGTCTCTTACTGGCCCTGCCAGCCACATAGCATGGCTTGGATCTGTTGCTATCGCTGTGTCCCAGCCTGGAGCTTGACCCCTGACCCCACCAGCCACATGACATGGTGACATGGCACTGAGCTGTTAGTGTGTTGCTTGCTGGCAGGGGCCAGGGACCTCAGGCAGCACTTGATTGAGCTCTGCCCCGCATGGCACAGAGCTATTGCTTTGCTGTTTTGCAGGGTCAGCCAGCGCCTAGAGTCCCTGAGCTAGTTCCTGTCTGATGTTGCATGGCATTGCATGACATGGAGCTGTTGCTGTGCCAAAGGCCCGAGGCTATAAGAGTTCAAATCTTGAACCCAAGCAAAAACAGAGTGTGAACTGAGAATAGCACATGGCTTTGAAGCATGTTCCCAGTGACACACTTTTTCCAGCAAGGCAACACCCTCTAACCCTCTCCCAAATGGTACCACTAACTGGGGACAGTATATTCAAACACCTGAGACTGCAGGACATTGTCATCCAAACCACCACAGAGGACAAGATGTGACAAGTCAGCACCAGCAACTGAGGGTTGCACCAATGCAAAATACAAGGAAGCTTTTGACTTTTTATCTCTACCTTCTATTTTAACACAGCTCAACAAACTGACTGGAGAGTTTTTACTGTATGGTTCCACATTACACTTAGTTGTTAAAGCTAAGGAGAAAGGGCAACCAAAGGCTTCCAGTATGTGGAGGGACACCCAGCTTCCTGACCCTACCTGTACCCCACTATTCTAAACACAATGGTGTGGCAGGTCTTCAAAGTTAGATGGTCCCGAACTATCGTGGTTTAATAAGGATCAGGATAAACAATTAGGCTGAACAGATGTTTATTCAGGGAGAAATAACTCACAACCTAGAACACCAGCAGGTAACACCGGATGCTCTCCTCGTATTCCCCAGCTCCTCCTCAGACCTCCTTCCCCAGGTCACTTCCGCTCCTGGCTCCACCCCCAATGGGCGTGGTCAGTGCCACAGAAGCAGACAAGTGAATATCCCACTACAATTCCCCTTTTAGTCTATAAAGATTTAAGCTTGATACAAAGCTACATACAAAACAGTGAATAACAAGTGTGCTCTAAGAAAAGGAAAACTGAGAACAAAACGACCTACATATCTAGTCCTAGAGTGAAGGGATAATAGAGTTTACAATAGAGTTGTCCTAAACTAGAAAGCTTAAGTCTAGTATCTAATATATCTAACTAGAGAGAATAATAGTTCTGGTAGTTTAAATCTTCAACCTCAAGACCTGAGAAGGAAATACTAGTGTAGACAGGACGTACGGATGGGCAACTTCCGTATAGCAAGGACAGAAACAGCAGGCTACCTGAACAGTCACCCTAGGTCTCACAGCAATGTTGGTACACCCAGTTTTGGCTAAGGCCTAGAGAACCTGACAGACCATAAAAGCAGGGAGGTAGAAAGGCTGTCTTACCCTGACTTGGCAAGGTTCAGCAGTCTTCTATATTTGTCTCCTGCAAGCACATAGGACGTGTTCAAATCAGTGGTCAAGGTGGGGGCAGTTTTTTGCCCAAGAGGCCATTAGCGAAGTGAGGATGGACTCAAGAAAGAGCAACAACAGTGTCCAACATATTTTCAGGAAAGTGCACGGTGCTGTCAGGAGCAACAGTGTCTCATGTCAATGGAGTACTAATATTAAAACATTTAAATGCCATGTTCTGCATCTCTATGAAGTGATTGAAGATTAAGCATCTATATCTGACTAATCTCATAGGTAAAGGAAACATGGGTGAAGATAATCTGTAAAACTCAGGAACTTAGCTAAAATACAGATTGAAACTTCCTTGAATAAAGCAGGGACATATACCTAAACAATATAACTATGTACACACACACACACACACACACATATATATATATATGTAAATCCCTAAAATAGAGGTATGTTTACCATGTAAGGTGAAACACTGCATCTAAGTGTACTTCATAGACTGGGAAACTTATGCAACTGCATAAAGACACACCAGGGAACAACCCAAGTGGAAGGCACACTTTTTCCAGCTCTTTTATTCTTATTGAATTAACAATAAAGATTCCCCAAAGCTTAAAATAAAAAAAACTCTGAAAAATATAGTTTTATATTATTTACATGACATATGAATACAGGTTCCAATATCATACAAACATCACATTAGAAACAGTGGGAAGGCATGATGTAATTCTCTGCCTTTTAGATGCAAAGCCTATTATTATATGTTCTCCTATTCTGACTCCTCTGATGTCTGTTATCCCCACACATAAACCATTTGGTACCTGAGAGGCTGGAAGACTACTGATGAACTTCAAGACCATTTGATGTTTTATTTTCCAAACTTTCTGCATTTTAAGGCTCTGTACACCTCTACCCTACCCACAGATAAGTTTATTCTCAGCTTTTCAAATGGTCAAGTATTAACCACATCCACTGTTAATGTGTATATGGATTTAAAAATCAAGCATAAAAATGCATAGCCTCACCGTGTAGGGTATATATCTAATCTCAGGAAATACCTCTTGCTTTCCTGTTTCAATGCTACCAACTGTTTTTTTAAAAAACATTTAAAAACAAAAAAAAGGGGGGGGGGGGGACAATAACTAGAATTCATCTCAGAAATTAATCAAAAAACTTAAGATTAAAAATTCTACATTATAGTTTTATTTGTATTTAAAAATACACTGGAAATTCTGCATAGGCCCATGATAGAGCTTATTTTCGACGTACATTACTTCGGTTTGAAGACATGGTTTGTCTGACAAGTCCTTCTCAAGCTGAACACCAAGATGGGCAAAGTTCTGTAGCTTTCCCTGGCGCTGCTGTCTATGATGCAAGCCGCTTCCTTGCTGCAGGAGCTGGGTGACTCTCATTTGCCCTTTATCACCTGAACAGTTTTCCGACCATAGTGATAATAACTGTATGCTGACGCAGCTGTAGTGAAGGCTGTGCAACACCTTAAAAGGGGAGAAATGGGACTCAGCTGTCAAATCTAAAAACACAGCAGAAGTCATGAAGAACATATGTAAAAGAAAGTCATGTATTAACTTGAAGCAAACAGGAGACTATGGATATATATATAGAGAGAGAGTGAGAGAGAGAACCTCCATTAATGAACCAAAATACAAAGAAAAACAAAACAAAAAAAAAACCTTCATTTTATGAGAGAAAATAAAGTTCAGACTGCATCATTTTTAAGTCTTTAGCACAATTTACTAAAATACAATTCAAAATCAAGATGGCTTCCTATTTGGAATGCTTAAACGTTTGATTTTGACACATTTCAAGACATTTACAAATGATTGATTTGTATCAAGCTTTCTTGTTGGACTTTCTTTAGACCGCCAGCCCCCAAATAATGACATAGCAACTTATTACTAATTATGAAAGCTTGACCTTAGCTTAGGTTTATTCCCAATTAGCTCTTATAACTTAAATGAACCCACTTCTATAAATCTATGTTCTGCCATGTGACTCTTTACCTCTCCTCCATTCTGTATGTCTGACTCCCTCCATTTCTATGGCTGGTGAATCCCCCCTCTTAATTCCTCTCTCTACTCTCTATTGGCCTCAGCTCTTAATCAAGACACATCTTCACAGTGTACACAGCAATTAGCATGCTAAAATAAGATTCAAAGTGCTTTGACTGGGTGTCCCCCCCCCCCACTACTCCCCTCTACCAGCCTGGATCCTCAACACTACTGTCCAAAAATGTCTGCTGAGGGCCCAGCTCACCTGTAGTTATGGCTCAAATGCCACGTCCTTCCTATCCTTATCCCTCCCTATTACTTTTTCTTCTTCCTCTAAAACACATTGGCAATACTTCTCATTCCTCCAAGTTATGACTGCTAACTTCTATGCTCTGTGCCTGAGAGTAAGGTTAAGAATGACTGCACATTGGCCAGTTGTGTTAATCACCATCTAGTGTAAGAAGCTTCTCTGGTGAAGGTTGGTAGAAGCACTAACATGGGTATAAAGACAAGAACTTAGACACAACTCATTACTATGTCCACTTGACAGGATTATAGTATTAAGTTCTCTCTTAGGGTCTATGACTTAGCTAGCCACTGGTTTTGGGGTCCTGTTAATGGAACCAGGCTTTAGTTCCATCTTGTAGAGTAGGTTTAAATTCAATCAGAAAGTGGTTGGTCAGTCCCATGATATTTGTGCCACTACTGCAAACACTTGCTATTGCAGCTTTCAGGGTTCAATGCTGGGTAAAACTGTTGCTTATGAGAGACTACACCAACCATACACCCTACCCCCCACCCCCAAGGCTCAGGGATCACCATGCAGGGAGAAATTTTAAGAGCCAGAGGTAATGGACGCTTGCAACAAAGTAGTATTTATTGAACATGATAGTGACACACATGAACTTATAGTGGCTATGACTGTAGGTATGCATAAGACCAGCACAAGCCAGCCAAACTTCTCTGCATGAATATGGTTGGGAATCACGAAGTTCTACACCTTTCTGAGAAGCTGTTGTCAACTGATGGCTGCTGGGGAAGGAGAACTGGTTTTCATCAGGCTCCTCAGGTTACCCATGCTCTAATAGAGGGGACTACACCTGTGCACACACAAGTAGCACTGATGGACTCAGTGAGTATTTGAAAAAACACAGCAAATAAAATCAGGAAAAGGAAGGGGAAAGGGGATGGCCAGAGTAGTCATTAAACACTTCAAGGACAAAGTCACTCTAGGATCACCACAATAAACCATTGTACTGATATTCTCTGAGTAATTCTAAATTTAGCTTACCATAGTATCTGAAGATAAATGCTGTCAGCATAGTTGAAAACTGGAGCTGCCAAAGAAGCTGCCACCAAAATTAACTGGACTGCTGTATTTACCTTAAAAATAAAGGCATTATAAATGAACAGTGACAAATGGATCCTGTTTGAAGCTTTTGAGGCAAAGGAATACTCATCATGATAAAGCATTCTGGATTGAACAACATTATCCATGCCAAAGTTGGTATGTATTCCCAGATAAGAACACGTAACATGTCAGAGTCACCAACTGGCCTATCTGCCTATGCAGCTTTATTCACAAGAATAATGACAACTATCAGAAAGTACCACATCTTGAATCCCACAGCGATTCGATGATGCTATAAAATTCTCTGCCTTTTTTCCTAGCTAGCCATTCAAATAGCTCTGTAAATATGAGATTATGTATGAAATGGCTTCTCTCTGGGTGAGAGGATCATAGCAAACAACACAACCAAACACAGATTTCCAAGGCCGCTTTACTTGCTGCCTGCCACACTCTGTGAGGTCAGAAAACTGAAATGCATTCATTGCCATGAAGTCCTCTGGGGAAATAAGCACAACCTGACCAGAAATAGCCAAAGACAACATTCTATGAAACAACCTAAGTATGATGCAGTTAAGGAAGATGTACAGAGATGCACCTCGGTCCTATTATTCATTCTGCAGTCAAATGACAGTGATCACAGTGTTTCCTAAAATAAATAATTCTGTCTGAGAAACTTCCTATAAGAACAAGGGTTTATTGGTGCAGATGTCCCAGCATTTCAAGTGACATTCTATGGAGTGTTACATTCAAATTGTTGCACTTGACACAAATGAAGTCACATGAAGTTATGTTGTTAATAGTCTGTGCCTGAACAAGACAATGGTCCCTCTGTCCCAAAGACATCTAATCTTTTACATCTGTCACAAGAAATAGAATGAAAGGATGACTTCAGTGAAGTTATCAAGGCATTAATATCAAGGCGTACATTTATGATTCTGAAAAAGACTTACAAAACACATAGACAAGTAGTCCCTGTTCATCTAACACTTAAAAATAACAGGGTTGAGGCTACAGAAATAGCTTAGCAGAGTAAAGAGACCGGAGATACCTAGAGCTAAGGAAAGCTCCAGATTCAGCCGAGAAAACTGTGTCATGTGCATGTACACGTTTAATATACTTTTGTCCTCATCTGCTCCTGAGACTTACATTTATTCCATTATAATAAAATTTCATAAAGGACGGGCTTCTTTAAAAGGCTGCTGTGGTTCTCTTACCTTGCTGATGAATGTGGGTTTTAACCTAGCAGTAGCATAGCAAGGATTGAAGTACTTAGCTAGTGTTCGCTGCCAAAAGAAAAAGAGTTTCATTTATTGTTCAGGTTTCAAACAAAAGTTACCAGTGCTTATCCTATGCCTAGCCCCATTGTATAAGCATCTTCTTCATCATGTTAAATAAGCACTATTTACATACCTTGCTAATAATTCTAGGCTATCAAAAGTAAGATTATTCAAAATGTAGATTTGTCAAGTCCTACAAAATTGTACTCAATTGCTTTCACAAAGTTTGGTTCATCACATATTTTCCCTAAAGAAACTTAAGTTATTCTATTTTACGGGAAACAAAGCAAAAAAAAAAAAAAAAAAAAAAAAAAAAAACACAAACAAAAAGAGAAACAAAAAGAGTAATGCTATACTTATATACTTATGAACCAGTATGTGAGCAAACCATTCTTCTAGACCATCCATGGTGAGACTAAATGAAACAATATATAGCCTGGAGGTATGAAACACCTCTAAGAGTGAGCTGCTTGGGCCTTGGCCAGCTGCCCTGGGTTTCATATACCAATACATCATCAACTGAAAAGCTGGACTTCATAGAAATTAGGTTTTTTTTTTTTTTTAATTTTATTTTAGCATCTCACTGTAGCCCTGTAGACCCCAGTCTAGTCTCAATCTCAGAGATCTATCTATTTCTGGCTCTTGAATACTGAGGAAAAAAAATATGTCACCATGTCCAGACAGAAACCCAGCTTTTAAGACAGCTATAAATTAGTGTGTTCAAATTATTGCCATAAATTATTCTCATTCAGTAAAATTACATCCAATAGAGTGAATATTTGTAAGTAACGCTAAAGGAATATTTCTGAAACTTACCGGTGTTGGCAGAGTTCGGTATCTGACATAAAACACTGCAGCGATCAACATTACATCTCTTGAAATTATCATGTAAGTGAGTGGGACTGAAAATCAAATATAAAAATCAGTAATGAGGAGCCTGAAAATTATAAATACATACTATGACTGCAGAAAAGCCTTGTTCAGCCTCATACTATTAAATGTGTTCCATAAGTAAAAACTTTGTAACAATTGTTTATGGATGATTCATGCCTCTACAGTGAAGCCCTGGTCTTTTTATTCCTTCTTGTAATCAGAATGAAGTGTAGACAGATTTCTGATCCGCTCACCACTTTGGTTCTCTCTGTCTATCTATAAACAAGTCTTTACATGATAGTGTGAGCTACATCCAGCCTCTCCACCCCCTACCCTTCTCAGCTTTGTGATTGTGGGAAAAAGAGGTCATGCTCACTGGAATCCAATGAAAAGGAATGATAAGGAGGTTCAAGGGAATGTCAGAAGTTAGAACATCCTGAAGTCTCGGGATTTTTTATATCTGAATTTTAGTATATTCTCTAAAGAGCATTTACATACATAGTTTACAGAAATGCAAAACTATTTTCACTCTTGTTGAGCTAGTTCCTACCCACATAACTATTCTTCTCCCTGCCCAGCCTGTCAATCAGTTTTTATCACTGGCTGTCTCCCTTATCCAAGGTGCTTGGACAAGATATGTTCCAGATTTCAGTTTCTTGGGTTTTAAAATATTTACACATTGCCCATTGAGCATCACTAATCCCCGAACAATCCAAAACACCAAGGTGTTTATCACTGGAGATACTCAACTCATATTCCTCAGATTTTCCAACATGGCCCAGGACAATAGCCAACGGGAAGATATTTTAGATGGTAGGACAGAGAACTTACTTCACTAGAAAGCCTTCTATACCACAATCCTTCATATTTTACAAAATAAATTCAATGGGAAAAATACTGAATTTAAATCATAGTTCAAATCATAGATATCCTTTTAGTGATATTTTCAAACAGCTCAAAGGTAATCTGAGGCTGTTTAGGGCCTTCTGCAGTTCTGACATTCTGTTGGCTCTGTACTTACAACTGCAGATCTAACTGAATTTGCCTTGGCCTCACCATCCTCAATAGTGCTGTTCCAAAGAGAAAATGAATAGGCAGACTACTATTAGCCACATGGACCATGATTTTTAGATGCACTTTCTTAATCACTAAACAAATATTCCTACAGTAAGCATTAGCTGGTAAATTAACAACCACCACACTTTAAAATGCAGCTAACCTCTACAAATCAAAATCAGTAAATGTGAAGAAACCTGTGCAGGGATGGAGGTCTACCGAATGCAGACTTGGGCAGTGCTTTTAATCAATCCAGCACCAGGACCTGGCAGTGTCTCCAGAGTCATTTTACTACCTGCAATCATCTAGTGTGCCACTTCCAAATAAAATACTTCATTTGTCATAAATACACAATTCCAACTTAGATGCTTTTAATAACAAAGCAAAATTAGAATTGTGGGGGGGGGGAGATGAGTAAAACATGACAAAAAGGAAACTTTAACCTAATCTCTCAGGAACTGACAAGCAGCCTAAGGGGATGGGGGATGGGGAGTCAAGATGTGAAAGATTACAACAGACTGAAAATTTCACTTACTGGGCTTACAAAGAAAACATCACAACACAGTACTGCAGAATATCCATCCATTCACTGAAGCACATGTCTGTATACAGGTTGAAAACTAAAGTCATAGAGCATAAAGTCTCTGAACATGCAGTTAAGCTTGAAATCATTAAGATACCTCCAGAATCCACACAAATTGAGAACTAAAACATACTATTATTTTGGTTGTATTGGGAACTGAACACAGAGCTTCATACATACTACGGAAATGTTTTGACCCTGAGCCACATCCCAACCTAAGATAATTGTCAGACAGACAAAAATTATCAGAAAAATGCTCTGTATTGGACAATGACAAAAAACACTAACACACGCAATGCAGTGAAGTGATACATAAGCAGAAAATGCAGCCTCATGTAAACTTCACAAAAGCTAGAGCAATGAGCAATGTGCCCATCTACAGGCTGCATTGTCAATACACACAGCCACAAGCACTATCAATATGTAAGAGGTAGCTCATCAAAATAGAAAGGCACAGTAAATGGATATAAACACTGTTTTGAAGTTTTAAACTTCAATTTGGTATTTTTTTTTTTTTGTTATACACTAGAATCATTGTGAATTGCATTTAAAATATTAATTTAGTGTGTGAGCCTGTGTGTGTGTGTGGGGGGGTACACATGTGCTAGCACAGGAGGTCAGAACCGATTTCCAGAATTCTCGCTCTACTATGTGGATCCAGAGGATTGAACTCAGGTCCTCAGGCTTGGAGGCACCTAAAGCTGAGTCAACTTACCAGCCCAACAGAATGACATTAATCCAGTGGATTTAAAAAAAATCTCAAATTTTATTCTATTTCTAATTTAACATAGCTACTAAGAATGTTGCATTACATGTGGCGCCTTTTTTATTTCTACTAGAAGAACTCATATTTAAAAAAAAAAAAAAATGATCAAGGAAAATCCAGGGAGGCGAGCAATATTTAATGAGTCTTTTCAAACATATTTGGTTCATTAGGAGTCACAGAACTGGCAAGCATGTGACAAAACTAATCAAGAGAAAAAACAGAAGGGAGTAAGACTTCAGATGAAAGTCAGGAATTATTATATACCATATATCTTATGGTACCAACAAAAAAGTTGTTACAAATAACTTCTTTTTTTGTTAACTTCTTAATAATATAAATAAAATGGGTAAGTTCCTAGAGGGAAAAAAAAACACACAACTTAAAAAATGCACAAAAGATGAATTATTAAACTAAATTACCCTAGAACAATTAAGAAAAACAAAAAAAAATCATCTTTCAAAACTCTACTTAATGGCTTCAACAAATCCTATCAAACATCCAAGATGAAAAACTAGGGGAAAAAACAAACAAACAAAAACAACAACAACAAAAAACAAACCTGTAATGTAATGTCACATGAATCCCACCCAAGAACTGAAGAAAAAAAATAAAATCACTGACCTGTTTGATGAGGAAATTTACAACACTGCCATTAAAAACAGGAACCTAGTGAGAACAGATATCACCAAGAAGACATACAACAAATGCTGATGAGAATGGGGTGGGGGGAAAGACACCTCTTATTCAGTGATGGAGGGGACCCAACTACTAGAGAGATCTATCTGCATGGAGCTTCCTCAAGAGCAGAACAGAACTACCATGTAACCCAGTGATGCCACTGGAGCACACAGCAGAAGGACTCTGGGAACTACATGTTTACTGCTGCACTTTTCAAAAGAGTTGGGAAATGGAAACAGTCTAGGTGTTCATGAATGAATGGATGAACAAAAACTTCAGTTAAAAGAAAACAGAAATCATGACATCTGCAGTAAATGGCTTGAAAATCATTATTAGGCTAAATAAGTCAGACTCAAAAACACACATTTTCTGTCCTGTAGAACTTAAAATTTTACATGTATAAATGTGCACATCTGCATGTGTGGGAGTATTAATGTCTTGTGGGTCATAAGGCTAGAAAGGGGATCCCTGAAAGAAGGTCTTAAGCAAAGTAGGTTGTAGAGCAGGTAATGGCATATATGTACAACAGGAAGCAGAGGGAACTAACTGGAGAATGAAAAGGGTCCACTGGAGGCAGAGAGGGAAATGACTGAGGACAATGTGTAATGACACCCATGTATGAAGATGCCATAATAAAAGCCATTACTTTATAACTTAAAAAGTTAATTTAAAAAAACAAAGATTTTTCAAGAAACAAATTCCAGGCTATAGCCTGGGAATTTAGCTCAGTGGTAGGTAGAATAATGTAGGCAAGTATAAAGCCACTGGTGGGAACAAAAATCACAAAGGACACCTTCCACAAGAAAGTATGCCAGACTAAACTCATGAATCTGAATGAGAAATCTTCAGCAAAATACAATCAAATCAAATCCAACAGTATCTCCAGAATGCATGGTGGCCAACATTGATTTTCATCAGGACTACAGGTCATCTTAACTCTAGAAAATCAGTAATGCAACTCATTTCATAATAGCAGTTTAAAGAGGAAAAATGCTAGGCTAATAATATGCCAAGAAAGAGTTCTCAGTGTTCCGTCATAATAAACACTTGGAAGAAATTTCCAAGAAAAACTACTATGCGACTTGAAAAGAGGAATCACTTCACAATGTGGTTGGGTGAGAGGCTTCTCCTGCTCAGCATGAGATAAACAATACAGTAAGGAAGTCAGAGAGAAAAGTCAGACAGTGCATACTGGGCCTGGAAACAAGCCAGCAGAATTAACAGAGTCAGAGTAAGCTTTACTACACATAGGTTATTAACATAGGAAAAGAACTATTGTCATGCCAATAACTGTGATCATCACACAATATCTAAATGCTTCCATTGGTAAGAACATTAAGAACTATCAGTTACTTGAGACTAATAAATCTATCAAAAATACAGTAGATACATGGCATTTGTGACCAAGAAGACAATTGTAAAATGTTTCAAATTTTCCAAAGAGATCTATGTATAAATTCCATTGACAAAACCAATCAATCCCCAACAGATTTTCCCTTTGGAAAAAGTTGATTCTAAGATCATATACACTGGAAAACAGAATATCTAACTAACTAATGTATCTTGAACACTTAGAAAACCAGTATCAAGCAGGACAAGCATCACTACACTTCATCTACCAGATGCCAACAATGGACACTAATGGACAATACAAGATCGGAAGGAGACACCACAACACTTCTACCAGACACCAACAATGGATCAGCTTCTGTCCTCAAACTCCACTTCAACTCTTGTGAGGATGCGGGAGAAAAACTGCTTGAGAAATACAGCCTAAGCACAAAATGAAGAACCAGAGAGGCATGGAAACTCATAAAGCAAGAGACCATGAAGTTAGAGTATTCAGTTAATGCATTATATATGTATACAGATTTGAAACTGAACAATAATGACTAATGTGGAGCCTGGAGAATCAGCTCAGCAGTTAAGAGCATTGGTTGCTCTTCCAGAAGTCTTGAGTTAAATTCCTAGCATCCGCATGGTGGCTGACAACCATCTATAATGGAATCTGATGTCCTCTGTCATGCAGGCATACATGCCAAAAGCACCATATGTATAAATAAATTTTTTTTTTAAAAAAAAAAGTCAATAGGGTAAAATTTACATATCTTTATAGTATCAGAGTTCCCTTTACGAATAAACTGTAATAGATAACCCTGGGGGCTGGAGAGATTGCTCTGCAGTTAAGAGCACCAGCTGATCTTCTAGAAGACCTGAGTTTGATTCCAGGACCCACATGGAGGCTTTACAACCATCTTTATCTTCAGTTCCAGCAAATCTGATACCCTCCTTCTGCCTTCAGGAGGCACCAGGTACCAAGTTGTATACAGATATATATGCAGACAAATACTCACACATACAATATACATAAAATAAAAATTAAAAAAAATATGACTTATGAAGATTTTTAAGTATTATGAATCAGCACTGTGAACTATTAAAAAGTTGTAAAGAAACTGTTTCCACTAGTCTAACAAGGACACAAATTCTACAATAAACAGTGTGACAGTTTAAAAAGTATTTCCCTCAAGAGAAGGCCTAAGCTCACTACCATTGTTGGTCCCTGTTATTTAAAGTACACACAAGTGTTCTTACCTGGAATAAGATCTGCATAGGTCAAGCTAACATATAAGATGCTGATAAGAACTTTATCAGCAAGTGGATCAAGAGCACTTCCCAAAGCTGATTTTTGATTGGCCCAGTTTCGAGCAATAAATCCATCCAACTGAAAATAGAAGTGTTTTTTAAATAAACATCACATAGGAACAGAGTAGATAATTTGAAGCTTAAGAGACACCAGAAAAACTATGCTTTCAGAAAATGTCAGCAAAATCTTGTTTCTTATCCCCAAACATTCTTACTTCTTTAGCTTTTAAAATAGCAATTATCTAAGCAAAGTTCATGTTTATAGTACTCTTCTTTCTCCTCCAAGGGGTCCCACGTGGGATGAATACAAACATAGATATAGAAATAGAGCCCCACAAAACTCACAGAAAGTGTGACTGACAGAGCAGGGCCTAGGAGTCTATTGTTTTGAGTCAAAATGGCTGCTGTTGTCTATAAGGCCTACTTTTAAATTGTGAAGCACTAGCTTTCACATTCTGATCTTATGTGACTCTTGTGGGGTCTGTTTTTAATTTATGTATATATATGACTGTAAGCCGTGTGTCTGTGTGTGTCTGTGTGTGTGTGTGCACGCGCGTGCGCGCACGTGCGTGTGTATCCGTCCCTGCAGAGGCCAGAAGAGACTATCCCATCCTCTGGAACTGCAGTTATAGGCAGCTGGGAGCTGTCTGATGTGGGTACTGAGACTCAAACTCAGGTCTTCTGCAAGAGCAGGAAGCACTCTATAGCTAAGCCATCACTCTATCTCTTATCTAACTCAAATTTAAATTTTATTCAGAGAGCTGGGGTGTATTTCAATGAAAAGAGTACATGACTAACTTCTATGAGGTTGTTGGTTGGATGACCTGCACCACAAATCACACAGAAGGTAATAATTATGCACCATCATATGCACATAATATATACATATAGTGCTCAGTAGCACTATTAATTCAATAATTCAACATTCTGTGTTTGTAATACCTATATTTGAATGAAAATCCTCTGTACATACCATAGGTAAAAAGCTAATTACTTTTTTTTTTTGACTTTTCAAAACAGGGTTTCATTGTGTAGTCGTGGCTGTCCTAGAACTCACAGAGGTCTACCTGTCTCCTGAATGCTGGGATTAAAGGAGTACAATGCCACACCCAGAAAATTAATTCTTTATTATTTATGATTAGAAACATTTTAAAGCACACTAGGTTGCCAAGCTTTTTTTTTTTTTTTTTTTTTTTTTTTAACCATAAAAACTGAATCCCTAGCCTATCTTGAGAGGGGTAAGACTTGGTCACTAGGGCCACTAAAAGGATCAAATCCAGGTGCTGCCTAGTCACATGACAATAGGCAAAATGTCTGCCTTGTTTATCCTAGGTTCCACTCTATAGCACTTTATGCTTCAACAAATGTTTCAAATCACTACTCTTGTTTCTAAGAAAATGATAAAACTATGTGCAATTTCAGCATGGTGCCTTTTAAAGACAAGTCCCCCATGTTGCAAGTACTCCAGTAAGTTAAAGGAGAAGACATACCCAGGAATGGTTAAGCAGTTGGTCTAGGCCTGAGGACATGGCTCAGGGCAGAACACTGACCTGATATACAAAGCCAGGGCATGATCCCCTAGCACAACAAAACAAAATCCACCAGCAACAACACAGACACAACAGCAGAACAGACTGCTTCAGGTCCTTGCTCTGCACTCCCTCCTTGCATGACCTTGAACAAGGCTTCTGACCTGGCTTTCTTCCTGCTTAGAATAGGTAACATCCACCTACCTCAAAGCTTTGGCTGCCTTCAGCACATAATATGATTAATACTTGGTCAGTTTCTTAGCAAGTCCTCAAAAAAGCAGTCACTAACTACTCCAATCACAACTATGTCAGCTTTCTTCTTCTTCCATGCCCTTTTCCTCTCTCCTCACCCTGCAATTTTTTTCAATTTTATTTACTTACTCACTTACTTATTCATTCATTTGTTTGTTTGATTTATTTACTCACTTAGTCATTTGTTTGTTTGTTTTGAGGGGGGCTCCCTGACTTGGCAGGCAGGAACCTACTATGTAGACCTGACTGGTCCAGAACTTGCAGCCATCTGCCTGCCTTTGGTGCTGGGATTAGAGGTCTGCACCACCATGCCCAGCTATTTTTCTTATGTGGATTACAGGTAATGTTGACTAACAGTGTCTACAATGGGGAGCTAAGGCCTTCAAGGTCCAGCTTTTGATACAGTTTCTCTTCTTCACTGCTCACTTTTCACCATCATCCCTCCTGTATTCACTATTCCTCTAACTCACTATTCCTCTGAAACAAATACAACTCCTTTCACTGCACTTCATTCCTCCCACAAATCCATTACCATTAATTTCAGGCCTCTATGCAAGTGGTTATAAACACTGCTCCCAAAGCTACAGAAATGTCCTGACTGATCTCATGAATTCAAGCCATGGCTTTCTGTAGATACTCAACACCCGGCTATATCTACCAACAGTTTTATCTTCTCTTATGCCTTTACCCTTGACCTACTTTGTTGCTACTAAATGTTCTCATCCTCACCCATGGCCATGTCTATACTTTCCTAGAACAGTAAGACAACCAGTACTTCCCTTTGTTGCTCCCAATACACAGCCCAGCTGCATTCATCCCATACCTCGTTTTATTACTCAGCTAATATAAAGTATTCCTCAGCAACCTGTCTTTAAAACAACCCTCCCTTGACCCTTTCTGTTCCCCTACAAAGCAATGTTTCCTTAAAAGCAGTGCCAGTCATTACTACCCTCATTTGTTTACCACTGAGGTCAATCACCCTCACACCTCTGGGAAGTTCTCCTGTAGATCACCAATGTACTCTGCATTTTCAGATCAGGTGCGCTCAATACAATAGCAGCAAGTTGTCACTTACTCTCTAGAACATACACTGCCCAACCTTCCCTTCTTGTTGTCCCTAACGTCCCTGCCAAGCTTCTGTTCCTTTACTTATTGACTGCTTCTGCTTCCCACTTACTTTATTTACCTCACTTAGATATTTCCTCTGATCAGCCAGCTCCCAATCTGTCGTCTGCTTTACCACACATTACCACATTCAACTCGAAGCAACAGGTATCAGCTTGGTGTTTTCCCCTAAACCCTGTCCTGTCTCAAGTGTTCCCCACACCTAGTGTTATCACCATGTACCTGATTTTGAAGACAGGGATGGGGTATGTGTAAGGGGGGGGGTGTCTTGATGACCCTGTTTTACTTCCATCCAACCTATCCAGTATATCAACAAAACAACTCAATACTTTGTTCAGAACATTATCCAAACCCATCCATTTCTAACTCCAAACTCCAACTCAGTCAAAGCTACTTCCTCCCTCACCAGCTGTTTGGCTTCCAACTCTGCTAGCCTAGAGCCTACTGCCCACACCATCAGATCCTGCCATTCCCCTGCTTAAAAAACAGTGAGTGAGGAGGCATTCAACTCCCCATGGAAAAACTGCACAATACGGTACCAGTTAATTCTGGTTTCTAGACACATGTTATACTTGGTAATGGGATGTCTCTCTTATTCAACAAGGCCATTTCATATGGCAGTTGATCCCCTATGCCACAAAACCCTCACAAATTAACAAATATAAAAGGTAAATCCAATGTCTGAAAAACACCGTAAAAAAACCCAACTCTACTATCTAAAATATTTCATTATCAGTCTAATGTTCTAGGACAGATTTTCAGGCCACAACAACAATGAGCGAAGAGACCTTCAGGTTTCAGAGGGACAAACAGGCACTGAAGAAAGGGGAAGAGATGACGAGAATGGGGACAGAGGGTGACAAGGGAGAACTAACATCTGTGAAAGAAAGGCAAGAGCTCATGTGAAAGGTTCTATCTGATGTACACCGTAACAATGCAAATGCTCATCTTTGTCTACCTTCAAAGCTTTCAGTTGATTATATTGCTACTGTTACTAGGCAAGTACTATTTCTGAACCATAGAAGGAAAAACAAAAAACCATTTTTTAAAAATGCTGTACAAATTTTACTTTTGGGAAATCAGTTTTCTACTCTCATGCATAAATATTGAGCAAAATGTTAAAAAAAAAAAAACCCAACAGGTTTGAAGTCATACAATTATCTTCTATTCAAACACATTTCCCAGCCTTTTATGTATGAGAAAAAACTGCTTCCATTTCACCATGCTTACTCTGCCCTGATCTCGCTTCCCCTCTGTCCTCTGCTTCTCTCAACTGTGTTTGTAGGTACAGAATTTTATAAGCCATTCCAAATCCTCTCTCTGTGAAAAGGTAGATGATAAATAGTCATGTATGACAGCTGTGGCTAGTCAGCAAAAGCAATAGAGCTTTCTACCATAAAACTGTTTTCCCAGTTGGAATTTGACATCCTACTCCCCAAACTGACAAGAATGATATCAAAGAATTCCTCTCCTTGTTCATGCGCTGAGGAAGTGGGAAAAAGAATGCCCAATTCCCATCTTACACCAAGGCTTCCAATGCCCGGCAGTAGCAGGTGTGCAGTCGAATGACAGCCTCCAAGCAGAACTCCGGCCTGCAGCAGCTCCCAGACCACATCCTCCTCCACTTTCCCTGCAGATCAGGCTCTTTGCTTCACACAAGAGTTCCAGACCTTCTCTTTATTCTACCTTTACAGCAAACACTCAGCTCTTGAACACTTCTATGGGTGTTTCTTTTTTGGAAGAAGTTAAAAACAGGGTAGGGTAGGGTAGGGTAAAGATTACCCTCTCCTATGGCTTTCCAGGACCTTTACACTCATAGATCTTTGAAATATTTTCTAGATCTACTAAAAGACAAGTCCTTCCACAAAGTACTAGGTCACACATGCTGAGGACATCCTTCAAGAAAAGCTAAGGCTGTGCTCCAGGGCAGTTATAGTGTAGGATTTGAAAGGGGGTGAAAAGCAAACATATTCATAACTTACCAAATCCGTTAGCCCAGCTAAAGCAAAAACACCTAGCGCAACATTAAAATCTTCTTCAAGAATCAGATAGCCCAACACTGGGGCCAAGCCAATTCTCGTCATCGACAACATATTTGGGATTGTCCATGGATTTTCATACTGAAAAACAAAGACAGCACAATTTTAATAAAATACTACAAATTCTACTTTAAAATAAAATGAAGAGTTCTGCAAATCTTTCCAAAGCCATGGAGATGTTGAGAGACTTTCTCCTCCCTCAAGTAAAAAACTGGGGGTGTTCACAGCTCCTACTTGGAGCCAAGCTGTTAGAAACTGGCACTGACAAAAGAACTCCTTGGCAGCTACCCTGAAGGACAACCCTTCTTTAGCAAACAGAAAATTCATGAGAGCACTTCAACTTTAAAACTCTTCAGCATAGCAAACACCCTGCACCACATGGTACAGAATAGCCAGAAAATGTCTGTCCCTAGAGCCTGTACTGTTTTCTCATTAGAACTGTTTTCTCATTAGTCTGGAAAGCGGATTCATATTCATCTCACTGGACTTTGTCTTCAAGAACCATTTTAACATTTTTTTAAAAACAGTAAATCAGTAACCAATTTGCTTGAACCTTAACCTTTATAGAAAGAAGGGGGGGAAGGCTGGTGAGCTCAGCAGATGTAGATACAGGCAGTGGGAAGAGAGCAGACACTCAGGGAAGTTGCCCCGTCTCTGCATGTTCATAGTAAGTATGTGTGCATGCACCAAAGGGAAAAGGGGGCAATGTTCATTTCTCAAGGTATCATAAAAATCTCATGAGCCACCTTCCTCATAAGAAAAGACATTTATTTTATAGATAGAATCCAAAAGAAAGTATACCTGTGTAGACAGATTATAGGGTGGTTGCTGGAGTCAGGAGACAGAATACTGACACTGAAATTTTTAACTTCAAATTCTACACCAAATCAGAAACAATACAGCCCTCTACTCTGGAATCTTCTATTCAATGTAGGACTACACTAAAAAAATGTATGAAAACAAGCTCATTTACACCGAGATATCAATGTTTACTGTCAGGCTAGTGAGACAGATCAGGCACGATGTCCTGATCTTTATACATGTTAAGAGGGACAAGCCTGCTGACCACACTGTGGCAACACTGATCCAATATCACAGCAATTCACGAAAGGCTGGAAAGAGAAAGGTGGCCCGTGATTGAGGAGATGTGATACAAAGCAAAGGCCAGGAATGAAGAGCTCCAAAGTTAGTCTGACATACCCATGGGGCAAGACTACGTGGGGAGCTGCAAGCAGCCTCCTCATTTCACATGGCAAAACACACTACAACTGGATTGGACCAGTGAAGGGTTCGAGCCCTAATAACAACAACAAAAAAGTTCACTAGTAGCTAGTTATGACATCTGTGAAAGTCAACACTGGGAAAGCTTAATCTCAGATTACCCAACCAGATAACCTGTGGCATACTCGGCCAACTGTGCCGGGAAGGGCTTCAGCCAGGTTGAGGGCCACTTCAAAGCATCCAGCGTTCAAGCTCCGACAGGCTTTAGAGCTATTCCTGAAGTTGAGACCCCTGCCGGGGTGTGGCCACCTCAGCCCATGCTGTGTAACTGATGAAAGCAAGCAGTACAGTGGCCTCTGAAGACCTAACAATTGAAGATGTAATAATTGCACGAGCTTTGCTAACATGACATCAAAAGCTATGCCACACACATGCTCTGGTGACTCCTGCCCGCGAAGTTATTTTAGCAGGTAAGGTGGACAAACACCTCTTCCTTTTGTTACCTCAGGAATACTCTTTAGTTTTCTATGACACAAAGTTGGAAGACCTTCCCATTACAAGCTAAACTAAGTGACTACCCTCCCTATTACTGTATAGGATCATCAAAGGCCAAAGAATTATGAACCAAATCCGCACGAGCAAACAGGAGGGCCGTTCTTAAGATGCCTTCGAACTTACCATACACTCAAGATTCACTTCAAAAGAGTAAAAATGGATTTTTAGCCAGACGAGCAATGGCTACTCTTACCGATGCGGCATGCAGACACACCTTCCAGCAAAGGGTGTAGACAGAAGGGGATTAGCGTGGGCTCTAATTTGGTCAGAGAGCGTACCCGGCTGGGGCCCCCCGAAGTTCTCGGCGACCGAACGCCCCACCTGCCCGTAACTTCCCAGAACACCGGGTGAGTGTCGCGACAGAGCGCCGAGCCCGTCACCTGCGTCCCGGCGCACGGCCGACCCTCGTACGTACCGAGCTGGCGGCGCTGGCCGGGACCCACCGGGCGCCGGGGGCCTGCGCGCTAGCGCCTCCTCCGGCCGCAGGCTCGGGGGCCGCCGCCTTCCCCGCGCCCGAGCAGTGGGTCCGCGGGCCGGCGCCGGGCAGCCGCAAGGCGAACGCCGCCGGGCGCAGCCGCCAGCGCTCGGCCAGGCAGCCCAGGCAGCAGGCCGCGGGCGGCAGCGGGGCTCTGCGGGAGCCGCCCCTGTCGAGCCGCGCCCCCGGCGGGCGGAGGGCCACGCGAAGGGGCCCCCACGCGCAGCGCGCCACGCGCCAAGCCAGCATGGCCTCGCGGCAGCCGCAAACTCCAAACGTCGAGAAGTCAGCAGCCCCGGGCGCCCGCCGCCTGCTTCTCCACAGAAAGCCAGCAATGCCGAAGCCGCAAGGATGTCTCCATACTAATTTCCACACTCCAGACGTCGCGTTTATACAGGTGGCCCGGAACCGTCAAGGAAGCCGCCTTCACGACACTTTCACGACACCCAGCAGCTCGGGTCCCCAGCGCCCCCTGACGGCAGTCGCAAGCGCGTGTGGCTAAGGCCCGCGTGCTCGTGGGCAGTTCGCCTGCAGGCTAAGCAGAATGACAGGGAAGGAAGGCCATGAGCGAGTGCTACGTGGCCAAAGGAAGCCAGTCATCTGAGGTCCCTAGCCCGAAACCGTCTGGTGCCACGTGGCCTGCAGGCGTGGGTGACACTCTATGACCACTAGAGGAGTTTTAAAGTATTAGTGTTGGAATGAAAGTATTAAGTACTTACCCTGCTTTTTGAACACTACATACATTATGGATAGGTCCAAAGAAGCAATGAAAAATGTCAGTCATAGCAATCACTATTTACTTGGAAAAAGTGTTTACTGTATAAACTATTGTGCATTTAATCCTATTAACAACTCTAACATAGGTTCTTGTTGCTTTTTCTTTTGTAAATTTGGAAATCGGTGTACAGAAGAAACTTGTTTTTTTATATAGTTTTAAAGTTTCATTATTTTTATTTTATGTGCTTTGGTGTTTTGCCTGCATGTATGTCTGGGTGAGGGTGTCAGATCCCCTGGAACTGGAGTTACAGTTAAGAGCTGCTATGAGGGTGCTGGGAATTGAACCCAGGTCCTCTAGAAGAGTAGTCAGGGTTACTAACCACTGAGTCATTTCTCCAGCCCCAGAAACTTTATTCTTAGGAAATCCAGACTAGTAGCAAACCAGTTCACTGTTCTAACAATGAACTTGTTGTTATAAATTACACATTACAGGCACGTTGGCTTCCTAACATTACAAACATGTTCCTACCCAGGTCCTTCCCAGGCAAGGGTGATACCAGTAGAAGGGCACCCTGTCAAACCCAGAGCAGACAGTTTTGCAGTCTTTCCACTATCCTTCAGTCCAGCCTGTGAAAGCATACAATCATCTTAAAGTTCTTCTTAAAGCTCAGATTATAGATTTGAGGAGCATATTATCAAGATCATCATCATCATTATTATTGACAGGATCTTTTTTGTGTGGCCCTGAGTAGCCTGGAACTTGCTTTGTAGACCAGGTTGGACTTGCACTCACGGATTTGCCTGACTTTGCCTCCCAAGTGATGGGATTAAAGATGTGTACTACTATGGCCAGTTATCTTTAACTTTTTTGTTTGTTTTTGTTTTTGGAGACAGGGTTTCTCTGTATTGCTCTGGAACCTGTCCTTGAACTAGCTCTGTAGATCAGGCTGGCCTCAAACTCACAGAGATCTGCCTGCCTCTGCCTCCAGAGTGCTGGGATTAAAGGCGTGTGCCACCAACACCCAGCTATCTTTAACTTTTTAGAGAAAAATCTAGAAACCAGAGAAATGGCTCAGTAGTTAAGATTACTAGTTGCTCTACAGAAGACCTAGGTTAAGACCCAGGTTAGATTCCTAGCACCCACATGATGGTTCTCAATCTAACTCTAGTTCCAGGGGATCTAATGCCCTCTTCTGTCCTCCATGGGAACCAGACACACACATGGTGCAGACATATAGTCAGGTAAAACATTGAAAATCAAGAAAATGTTTAAAAATCTATACATGTTAAAAAGAAAAAAAAATCCATACATATTGAAAGAAAATCTAAAAATGGTTTAACAATGTTAAGACTTTAAACTACCACTAGAACCATGCATCTGTTTCTCAGAAATTTTGGACAATCCTAGTTAAGACCTGGGCAGAAGGAAGGAAAGCAGAGACCAGAACCTTTAGTAGTGAGACGGACAGACAGTAGGAGGCAAGCAGGAAACAAAACACATGGGGTTTGGGCTGGAGGGTTCATAATTTCTTTGGAGTTAAAAAGTTCTGTAAGAACAAGAACAGAACACTTCCCCTACCTTTGAGAGGCCTCTGCACACCTCATGGGACCTAATTTGTTGGATGACTTGTCATTTCTCTTTATTAAGATGTTTTTCTTGTTCAACTCGGATCTTGATTAACTTAGACGGTATCCATAGTTGTGATGTTCTACTCTTTACTCTCTGGGCTTTTAAGGGGGACCATCACCCTGCTTCCAATTAAACCACACAGAGGTTTATTCTGACTTATGAGTGCCTGGCTTGTTTCTAGCCAGCTTTCCTTGTCTTCTATTACCCTGACCTTTTGCCTTTGGGCTCTTCCGTTTCATCTGTCTTGCTTTCACTCTTACTTCATGGCTGGGTGGCTGACCCTCTACTGTCCTCATCATTCTCTCACTGCTTCTTCCTTTCTTCCAGATTGCTCCTTCTGTTTATCCTCTCTGCCTGCCAGCCCCCCTATCCTTGTTCCTGCCTCACTATTGGCTGTTTAGCTCTTTATTAGGACCACCAGGTGTTTTAGACAGGCAAAGAATCACAGCCTCACAGAGTTAAACAAATGCAACATAAACAAAAGTAACACACCTTACAATAACCCTAACTTTAACTATTTGTTTATTCATTTGATTTTTCAAGATAGGGTTTCTCTGTGTAGCCCTGACTGTCCTGGAACTCACTACATAGACCCGGCTGGCCTCAAACTCAAGATACCCACCTGACTCTGCCTCCTAAGTGCTGTTTGTTTGGGCCTGTGACAACAGATACCAAATAAAGAAATACAGAAATATAAGAAAGCATTCAGCAGTTTCTCCTCATAATTAGGCTTCCTCGATGTAACGGTCTGATAGGCTCATCTTTGATCTTTCAATAGTTATGCATTTCATCTTCCTCTTTCATGAAAAGCTACTATGCATTGACTTTTCTGAAATAGGCCTTTAGTTCTAATAACAGATTATCAGCTCTTCTTGTCCTTCAACATTTCAGGCTTGGCAAGATGGTGCTCACCTTTAATCCCTGCACTCAGGAGGAAGAGGCAGGCAGCTCTGAGTTCTGAGCCAGCCTGGTTTACAAAGCGAGTTCCAGGACAGCCAGGGCTACACAGAGAAACCCTGCATTAAAAAACAAAAACAAAACAAAACCAAAAAATGACAACTGATTAGATGGCTCAACTGATGGAGGTGCTTGCAGCTAAGTCTGACTTCAATTCTCAGGACTACACAGGAACTCTCCCGCCCAAGCCCAAGAAATAAACATAGAGGAAAAAAAACTCATTTAAAGGCAGACACGGTATTAAGCTATATATACAGATCAGTGCCCCTAGGTTCAATTCACTACATTACTATATTTATACTAACATCTACCATTTGCTTTCTAAAGTCAGGGTTTAGTATTTTTATGGTCTTCACCTTTCCTAAAATGGTGTTCTGAGATGAGTATTCATGAACTGGAGCTCACTAGTTCAGGCTGACCAGTGAGCTTCAGGTATCTGCCTCTGTCCTACCCCACCCAGTGCTAGGGTTACGAATCCTCTTGGCTTTCTGAGTTTAGGTCCTTATGTTTGCATGTCAAGCTTCACCAACTGAGCCATTAATCTAACCCAGTTTGGGGTACATTTAGTTGTTGTGGAATATTCCTTTGTACAATGAAGATATGTCATTATGATTGGCTTTTTAAAAAAGCTACGTGGCCAATAGCAAGGCAGAATTTTTCAGGGCAGAGAGAATGCTGGGAAGAAGGTGGAGTTGCAAGGAGACGCAGAACGAGCAGGATGGGTTCTATGGAGATGAGGTAATAAAGCCTCGAGGCAGAAAGTAAATTAACAGAAATGGGTTAAGTTGTAAGGATAGAAACAAGACTAAGCTATCAGATGGTGGCACACACACCTTTAATCCCAGCACTGAGGAGGCAGAGAAAGGCCAATCTCTGAGTTCCAGGTCAGCAAGGACTATTTCACAGAGAAACTATCTGGAAAAAAATAAAAACAAAAAACAAGATTAAGCTACTGGCCAAGCTTTCATAATAAGTCTCCATGTCATTTATTTGGCAGCTGGCTGGTAGGACAGAAAAATCTACATTTTTTTCAATTTTTCATCCATCCAGTTTCCTGGAAGTTTATTTTCAACCGGTGGCTCACAATGCCTGAGCGCTTACGTGCTAAAGTGTGTTACTACAGATATGAAGGTGTTTTAGCTAGAGGTCCAGTTCCACCTGAAGCCTCTCATAAACATGGTGAATTCTGATCTTATGGGTCTTAGCACCTTGAAGCAGACCTCAGGAAACTCTCCAGCATGTAATCCAGCTTTTCAAACCAACGTTTCTTGATATGCTTTCTCTTCTGAACTCAGCACCAGGAGGGTGATGGACACTGTCCTTTGCTGCCTCCGTCTTTTGCAGAAGTTCCCAGTACAGAAGAGCATCTGTGTGGCACACAGGTGGGAGTGTTTAGCCACCATGGTCAGTAGGCTAGTTTCACAAACTACTCCCGGGAGACTATTGTTTTGTTTTATTTAGTCATCAGCCTCCATATAGTTCTGTAGACAAGTGTTATCCAGAAAGGACTTCTGCTTATGTCAACAAATTTTTACTACTCCAAATGAGAAGCCAAGTCAGACCTACCACCCATAACCATAAAGGTTAGAAACAATAGCTTGTATTTGTGACCTACATATTTTATGAAATTCAAAGTTTAATGTTGCAAATAAAGTTTCATCAGAACATACTTATTTGTTTATGTATTATCTGAATGCCTGATAGACACCTGATATATAAAACTAAGAAACACATAAAAATATTACAGGAAAAAGTATAAATAATGCTTATGTTATTAGATAAAATAATATAAACAATTTAATTTTAACCTTCTGGATAAATTATGGATTACTAATGTACAATTTCACCACTTCTTAGCTGACTATGCTAACACTTTTTTTCTAAGAGTTTTGTGTCATGTTTCAGAACCTATTTCAGTTTTGGTAATTAAGATGCTTGAGCTATTAAACCACTAGTGGTTCTGACATGGTGACTCTGTTACATAGTCTGAAGTTGGTAAATTTTTGGGCCTTTTTTTAAGAGGTAACCCTGGTCATTCAGTGATCCGATGAAGTTTTCAAAGTCGGCAACCTAGAAGCAAACATCCAGAGTTAGCCCATTCAGTACCATCCATCTCTACACAGAGACACCCAACAAGTTACCCAGGCAAATAAAATAGTATGTGCTTCTTACAGCACTCCAAAAAGCAAAGAATCCTTTGTCTTAAACAAAAACCCAACTTAGAAATTTCATGACCTTACACCTAAACTTCCATTAGAACTCTGAAGTAAGAGCAGGTGGGATCACATCAGTTCAACAGATGAGAAATCAGAGTCATCCCTATGACCAGCATAGGACAGTTAGGAAAAGATGGAGCCCAAGTCTTCCTAGAAAAGCCCCTCTATCAAAATGACAAAAACCTTTGAGAAGAAGTAACAAAGAATCTTAAAAAGTGGTTTTAGCCAGGCAGTGGTGGTACAGGCCTTTAGTCCCAGCACTCGGGAGGCAGAGGCAATTGGATTTCTGTGAGTTTGAGACCAGCCCAGTCTACAAGAGCTAGTTCCAGGACAGCCTCCAAAGCCACAGAGAAACCCTGTTTTGAAAAACCAAAATAAATAAATAAATGAAACAAAAATAAAAAGTGGTTTTGTTTGCCAGGTATGGTTTCGCTCACCATTAATCCCAGTACTTGGGAGGCAAAGGCAGGTGGATCTCTTGAGTTCAAGGCTAGCCTAGTCTACAGAGTTCCAGGACTACCCAGAGAAACTGTCTTGAAAGACAGTGTGGTTTTCTTCTATTAATAGCAACCCTCTGAAATTATTATAAAAAACTGTTAAGTATTTAGTTTATCATACCTGAATGTTTACTTCTTTGGCAATCTGACGAAGTTGATGAAATTGAAATATATTATTATAAGTTCTTTCAGCAATGCTGTTGAGAGCAGAAATAAATCTTTTTGCTGTTGACCTGTTGCTCATTCCAGAGCCGTGCTGGGATCGCTCAAAATCCAGGTTCCCAAACTCATCTGAGTAAGTTCCTAGCATGCTTCAATGGAGAAGAAAGGATTATCTCATGTAGCATGGCTACAGACATTTTTGGACTGGGCTCCAAGTTATAACAGAAGTTGGGAATGGCTGAGAGACTTACTCAGCTACTTTGGAATGCAATATGACATAAATTGACATAAAAATACTTTGAACACAATTACTGCAATCCCAGTACTCAGGAGCTAAGGCATAGAACTTTGAGTTTAAAGACAGCCTGAAATACATAACAAGTACCAGGCTATGGAAGGCGATCCTATCCCAAAAAAACCAAAACAAATTTGAAAACATGAAATGCAAAATCGTAGAGCTGAAAAAAATTACAAATACTAAAAACATTCTGATTAATAAAAGTAAAATTTCTGAACACAATATTTTCAGCTTTCCCAGGTAAACATATCATTAACTACCACAGCATCTTTAAAGAAAAGATGTTTAATTCTAAGGGAGCTAGAGAAATGGTTACAATAACAGGCTGCTCTTGCAGAGGACCCAGGTCTAACTCCATGGCATTTCATTCTTCTGTCCTCTGAAGGCACTGTGCATATGGTGCAGAGATATGTGCAGGTAAAACACCCATATCTGCTGTGGAACAGTCTTTGTATACTGCAAATACGTATTGCTTTCACTAGCTAATAGAAGAGCTGACTGGCCAATAGCTGGACAAGAAGCCAATAGGTGGAACTTGCAGACAAAAAAAGAGCAGAGCACAAAGAAGCAAGAGAGAAGTCTCAATAGTCTCGAGAAGACACAGAGAAATAAGAGGAAATTGTTGTGCTGAAAAAAGTTAACACCACATGGCAGAGAGTAGATAAGAACTAGTTAGCAAAAAGCCTGAGCTATTGGCTGAGCATTTATAAATAATAAGTCTCTGTGTGGTTATTCGGGAACTGGCTGGTGGAACAGAAAAGTCTGACTACAAATACCCATAAAAAAAAAAATCTTAAAAATAAATACTGCATACTCGTGCTGGACTTGCAGTGATGACAGACACTAACTTCATTTCTCTTGTTTTCTCTTTCTTACAGTATCACCAAAAACACACCCATTAAAGATATTATTAACCACCCTGCAATCCAGCTCTATTGCTGATTCATGTGTACAATGGGATGCATAAAATCCCATCGCCAGTTTAACAGTTGAAGCTTTGTATCCAGTAATTATCAAGTATGCATTGGTCACCTGTTAGGAAGTGGACTCAGGGTGGTAAACAAATCTCATCACTGTTCCTTCTTAAGAAATCCTTAGGAATGGTCTTGAAAGGTCATAATCTGTTCCTTGAATAGATAAGAAACTGGATAAACAGTAATGTGCATCTATCAAGTAAGACAGGAGCACATGACAGAACAGTACACATTGTTTACTACCTTCAGCCTTAATCTAGCAGAATTATGTAATAAATTAATGTTCCTTTATTGTCAGAATTGCTTTGGTAATTATACTTATTTGCCACAGGCATCCTCCTAGGACCACATGCCTTGGTAATTATCCTTATTCCAATTTATAGATGAACACAATTTGGGCAAGTAAGGCTAAATTACTTTCCAGAAGTTACACTACTAGTGAGTGACACCTGGGATTTTAACCCATACTTCCTTGCTTCCATTTGAAAAAAAGATACTTAAAACTTTTGACATACTCTCCTAAAGTGGAAAAGCTCACAGCAACCTAGTATCAGCAGGCAGTTCTACTCTTTCTAGAATATTTTCATTTGTGTAAGAATACTCACATAAACTATTTACCAAATAAAACCATTCACTTTTCAAAATATTTCCAAATATGTATTATGCTAACTCAGATGAACTATGTCATGATTCAGATTTTTCTTGCTCAGGCTTCTGCTTCCCACCATTAATGGTGGTTTCAATGAAACAGAAGAGATAGGAACTATAAAAGGGCAAACTTTTTAAAAGAGTATATTTTAATTAATGAATTAACAAAGCCACGAGTGTGGGCCCTAGAACTGGTAAACATGGTAAGGCCCTTGCTCTCATAGATTAAGAAAGCACGGTAGTCTAACACATCTGAACTTGATGTGTTTAGCTGGCTCTCAATCTCTGATAATGCTAGGTAATCCTAACCATTTGATCAAAAGCAGGGGGCAAGCTGCAGGTTATTGCTCAAGCCTTTGGGAGCCACAGGGTGCCATTCTACCCATAAGCAGAGGAAGAAGCCACAGCGAGGCCAGAACCATAGGCCAGAACCATAGTGAATAATAAGCAAAACAAGGTGAAGCCTCCCTACTGGGAAGGGAGAAGTGATCAGCACCACACTCCTGAACAATCACAAGGTCAACATGAGTGCTAGACCCTAAAATGTCTTTGTGACTTCTGATCTGTGTCACAGTACTTTTTTGTGAGGACCGACAGGTCACAAATATCAACATGGAGACATTAATTTTGAAAGTTGGCCATTCGCTTAAGCTTATCCCACTAGATCTTATAACTTAAAATAACCTGTTTTTATTAATCTATGTTCCTCCCAGTAACTCGGTTATCCCTACTCTGTACCTTGTGTCCATTCTCTTCAGTGTTTCTGGCATAATCGGCATGCCTAGATTCCTCCTCCTCTTCCTCTCTCTCCCTGGAAATCCTGCCTATCTTCCCGTCTAGCTATTGGCCATTCAGCTCTTTATTACACTAATCACAGCAGTACATCTTCACAGTGTACAAATATCCCACAACAGATCTGATTTCAGTTTATGGCAGGTGTCAGAAGGGAGTCAGAAGGGGGTCTATGTAGCCTTTAACATCATCAAATCTGGAGAACTCTGCCAACATGCACTAAAATTAACACACTATTATTGTGTGTACACAAGCCATAGCACAAGAATAGAAGTCAACTTTGGGGAGTTGGTCATCTCCTTCCACATTTATGTTGCTTCCAGGAGTAAAATCATCCAATTTATATGCCAAGTCTTTTTACTGCACTGAGCCACCTAGTGGCCCATGGGATAACTTGCCATGGCAGCCTCAAGTTGGACTGTAAAACCCTTGTTCTTCACTACATTGAACTGTTATTCAGGGTCAGAGACAAAGTGGTAAAGCACCCTGGTTCTGGCATGAACCAATTCAGTTCTATACAATTTACTTTTGAAGAAATAGAAATTACCCACCAAGAACACCAAAAGGAAGGAAAGACGGAAGAAGAGGGGGTGGGTAAGGAGGGAGTGAGGATGGGGAAAGGGAGGTGAGGGAAAAAAAAGGGAAAGGGAAAAGATCATTCCTACCAAAATTAAGGGGCCAGCAAGATGACTGAGCAGGTAAAGGCTGATGGGAGATGTCATTCTATGTTTCTCTCACTGGTTAATGAATAAAGCACTGTTGGCCAATAGGAAAGCAAGATAGGCGGGACTAGGAGACAAGGAGGATTCGAGGAAGTAGTAGGGAGGAGTCACAATGTAGAGACTGGAGAGAGCAGACGCCAGCCCCACTCTCCAGTAAGATGAGACCATGTGGAAACACTTAGATTAACAGAAATGGGTTAATAATTAAGACAGAGCTAGCCGATAAGAAATAAGTAACAAGCCAACACTATTATATCTAATACAGTGTCTCTGTGTGTTAATTGGGGCTGGTGCCACAGTGGGACCAGACCAGCAGGGAAAACCTACTCGTAACAAAAGGCATTTGCCAGGCCTGACAAACCCTTGGGACACACAAGGAGGAAGGAAACACCTAACTTTAGTTGTCCTCTGATGACCACAGGCGTGTGCACTGCCACTCAATAGAGGTAAAATTAGTGTTAATCTTACCTATGTTTCATAATCTCAATTATATCTTCAGCATCTTCTTTAGTTGCTTCCTCTCTCAATTCTAACCTTGCTCGTGCCTATCAAAGAAAACAACCATTTCAAAATAAATGATAGTCACCATTATTTTTAAAGGTGCACTGTATCTAAACTTAATTATTCATTGTATGGGGAGGGCTGGGGGTGAATACAATCATGTGTGCAATTCCCAAAGAATAAAGATGTTTTTGAAAATTGGAAAAGTGTACAAATAGCTTAAAATATAACCAAAATTTACTCTTCCCAACTAACATTTTTTTTTTTTTCCTGAGTGTTCATTTCATGAAGTTTGGTTATAAAAAATGTGTTTTTGTCCTTGCCTTTTATTTTCAGGAAATCAGTTTATTTGAACTAAAACAACAAAGGAGTCAATCATATTTCAGGATCAAAAGAACCTTACCATTTGTTGCGGCTAATTTTAACTGCAGGGACTCAGAGTACTGTGCAATGTGACAAACAGTGCTGCTAAAGGCTGCCTATACCTACAGACCTGTCACATAATCAAGTAATCAAGACATGCGACATATTCCATGTTCCCATATGCTTATCTTGCAAGCCCAGGATTCTAGGTAATATAACCACTTTTCAGATACCCCAGGAAACTACAGTGTCATTAAAAAAATTGACAATGCTTGGCAAAACTGGTCCTATGCTAGAAAGAAATCTGTAGCTTTGATATGTTACAAAAGTGATTAAATCTTCTAAAAAAAAAAACCCTTTTATTCATCTTTTTTAATTTTTTTATTATTATTTAATGCCTTCTAGGAGAAATACCTAGTCAAGGGTGAAGAAAATTGATCAAAGGAGAAATCATAGTACCACACAAACACACACACTACACGCACACACAGCCTCTCTTACAGTACTGGAGACAACCTAGGGCTTGTACACGTTGAGCAAGCACTCTAGACCATTGAATTACCATCACCTCTTTGTTGATTTTTGAGACATGTATGTCTCATACTAAGTAGTCTATTCTGGCCTTGGACTCACTCTGTAGTCCAGGCAGGCCTTCAATTTGCAATCCTCCTGCCTCTGCATCCTGAGTAACTGAGCTTACAAGCTTGTGTTGTCAGGCTGAACTTCTCTTCCTCTGGTCACAAAAAGCACGAACATAGGAAACTCAAACCTCTGTCAGACGGATCAAAGATTCCAGCTGCCGGGTAGTGATGGGTGAGCTGCTCATGCGCTGGCTCTGCTTGCGGAGCTCTAGGTAGAAGTCCTGTAGAGCCTGAGCAGCTTCTGTGGATAGCCTTGGGTGGACATACTGCCGTGCATAACCAACATACTTCCGCAACAGCTGATGTGGAATTGGATCTGTTGTCTCTCCAGGAGCCACCTAGAGTAGGATTTTAAAAAATGGCTAAGAAAGTTAGCTTGTTCAGGTAAATAAACAAAGTTCCAAAAGCTTCTCCAAATAAACCAAACAGTATGGTTACAGCTCTCAATTCAATCATCTTAGATCAGTGGTTTTCAATCTTCTTAATGCTGCAACCCTTTAATACAAGTTCCTCATGTTGTGGTGACCCCCAACCATAAAATTATTGTTGGTACTTCATAACTAATTTTGCGACAGTTAAGAACTGTGATGCAAACTTCTGATATGCAGAATATCTTCCCAGTAGACTCTGTCCCCCGTGAAGTTCTTGTGTCAGCCCCTGTTGCCCACCCTGTCCCAGCCTCCACCAACTGTCCCTAAGGGGGGAGGGGGACACCTGCTAGCACAGGTGCCCTCTGGGTATTGTTTACCTGATATGCAACCCCAAAGGAGTTCAAGACCCACAGATTGAGAACTACTGCCTTAGAGGATTCCAAAGTAAATGTCTAGGGAATAGGAGGAAGGTGAATTTTATTGGGGAGGGGGGTAGATAATGAGGATTTAAATCTAGAGAACTGTACGTGCTAAGCACATGCTACACCACTATGACATATTCCCAGCCCCTGTTACACATGGAATTCACACATTTAACTACAATGAAACTAAATGATTAAGAAATGGGTATACCTTCAATCTTTCTGACAGCGGTTTCTCAGAAACCACTTCAAGTACAGAAGTATTTGAATCTTGACTGAGCCCACGAGCTACTGTGGCACTGCTAAGGGCTCTCTGCTTCCCAGCTCTTATTGCAATCACATGTTCAGAAAGTAAGTGGTCATGCTGCTCATTCGGCGTATCTAACAAGATAAAGACCAAATCGAATCTGGACAGTAGGGCACTCCCCATCCTAGGAAGCAGGGAAGAAAGAAGCAGCAATGTTTGGAATCAAAACAGAAAAGCCTAAGGAACTGCTTACTTGTTTACTAGTTCCACAAAGAACTTTAAAACAGTCATGCTTTAGGTTAAAGAAATAAGCTTTTACTATAGTTACATGTTCCAACTCACCAAATATGTGCAAGACAGCTGTATGTACTTAAGCCTGGCTGGATGTGGTCTTTCTTCATACAACAAAGCCACTGAGAACTACACGTTATCACTGGCAATGTTCATATGCAATAAGGCTGTCTATCTGTGCTTTCGTAGCTCTTTTCCATGGTTTTCTTCTTTCACATGTGTGAGCGTTTTGCCTGAATGTGTGTCTATGGACCAGAGATGTGCCTGGTGTCTGTGAAGTCAGAAGAGGATGTTGGGTGCCCTGGACCTGGAATTAAGGATGGCTGTAAGCTGCTACATGGATGCTGAGAACCAAGCCCAGGTCCTCTACAAGAACAACAGTGCTCTTAACTGTTGCCATCCCTGCAGCCCTGTGCTTATACTCATCTCATCAAAACACTGTATCACAAGTACTTACATGCACTTAAATGTAACAAAGGAAAGATGCTACATTCTATTTAGGCATCATAGTCAGCCAATCAATCAATCAGGAGCTGTTCCTATTTGTAACAAGAAAAATCAATCTAGAGTGTTTAAAGAATTTTATGAAACCACCAAAGAATGCTTGTGTTAAAAACAGAACCAAGTCATCTGTAGGTTTTGTTCAACAGGATTATGTAGACTTCATAAAACAGAACTGCATTATTTTACTAAGGAAATTCCACTAATGGAAGAATGACTTTGTTGGAGGCCATGATAAACACACTCCAAATCCCCAAGTGCATTTGTGTTTAGTTTTTACTTTTAAATATTTTCTTTCAGTGTATCTGTGTACATGTGTATGTGTACAATGAAGCACATGTAGAATTTATGGGAGTTGGTTCTGGACTGAACCTTTACCTATTGATTTTGCTGGCTTGACAATTTCTATATTAGATGTACACATAAATTTATTTTTGTTTTTTCAAAACAGGGTTTCTACGTGTAGTCCTGGCTGTCCTGGAATTCACTCTGTAGACCAGGCTGGCCTTGAACTAAGAGATCCACCTGGCCCTGCCTCCAGAGTGCTGGGATCAAAGGTGTGCACCAACAAACACCACCTGGAAAAATTTGTTTGTTTATTTATTCTTTTTTTTTTTTTTTTTAAACACAGGATCTCACCATGCAGACCAGGCTGGCCTTAAACTATTGAAAATCCTTCTGCATTTGCCTCCCAAGTATGGAGATTAAGGGCATGTACCACCACTCCAGGCTCAAGATATGTAAGTTATTTAGCATTAGCTGTGGATAGCATCACATATATGTAGTTTCTAAAAACTAGAGAAGATAGTAGAAGATAGAAGACAGCAAAGGGTCACTTAAGCCCATGAATTTAGGACCAGAAATGAGTAACATAGTGAGATTCCTCATCTCAAAAGGAAGGGGGCTAGAGAGGGGCTGGAGAGATGGCCCGGCACCCACAGCACTCACAACCAGCTGTAACTCCAGTTCCAGGGGGAACCAACACCCTCTTCTGATATGCAGGCAAAACATCAATACCCATAACATAAAAATAATAAATCTTTAAGGAAAAAAGTAAATTAAAAAAGAGAAAGAAATAAGCTGCCTCCAACTAGACGTAAGGCCCTACTACTTTCGGAGGTACTCTGTCTTCTCCCTTTTATACCCGTTAAGTCTGTTTTTGTTTTATGCACACTGTGTTCCTCTGTACAAAATGAATTAGAAGAGGAAGCACAAGCCAGGCGTGGTGGTGCACGACTTTAATCCCAGCAGTCAGGAGGCAGAGGCAGGCAGATCTCTGACCTTGAGGCCAGCCTGGTCTACAGAGCAAGTTCCAGGTCAAGGTTACACAGAGAAACCCTGTCTCAAAAACAAAACAAACAAAAAACAACAACAAAAGAGGAAAAACAAACACAAGGTAAACTTGGTTCTTGAAAAAGTGAAACAAAACGACACTCCTTAAGTACATGACATGGCCTTCTCACTCAGCTAAGCAAACTGGTCTCTTTATCAGTACACAAGGACCCCTGCTTCCCGTTGCTGCTTCCCGCTGTTCTGTCTTACTGATTTTTGACAGTGATAATGCTCCAATACACATTCTGCAAACATGTCTATGGAGCTGTTAACTACAATCAGGATCTCCTACGCACAGAGTGGCTGGATTAAACACAATGTACATTGTGTTTTCAACATACGGAGTATGTGAAGATTGTAACCCTTTGCCAGTCTGTGGACTATCTGTGGTGCCTCGCTCTTTTTTTCAGGAGTCACGCACATTGCTGAACATCTACTGCAGGCCAGTAACTTCTGTGAGCCACTCACTGATACACTCAAGTATCTTTTCCTTACTGACACACAGCACGCACATCTGAAGAGACTTACTTTAAATTCTCAGAAACTGTTTTGGCTTTATTGTAGTGTCCTCCAACTGGATTTGCAGCAGCAATGATGGAAGTTCTTGCAGGGAGGCTACAGACCACACCAGCTTTAGCAAGGCTAATACTCTGCTGTTCCATGGCTTCTAACAAGGCTTGATGTTGGTTCCCCATTTTATCAAATTCATCTATTCCACAAATGCCTACAAGCACAGTAGGAAAACAGACTAAAACATATTTCAAATTTGCAGAAGTTACTGCACAATGATTATTTCCACTGGCTTCTAGAATTTAAAATTATCAAATGTTAACTAACAAGAACTGCCTTTTGTTTTACAGCAAATGAAATGTCTATCATATTACTAAACCGTGTGCATCATTCACCACTTTCTGTGGGTAACACACTATGTGGTGGATCCATAAATGAAGATATGCAAGTCTTCAAATGCAACAAGACTTAGCCAGTCAGGTTAGACATGAACATCTAAGAAATGTACTTCCTGAACCACTTACGACATGCCGGATTAGGTGGTAGCTTTCTGGAGCAGAGTGTAGTTAAACTAGGAGAACTCATAGAAGGGCTTAAGAAAAAGGTGCTCCTTGAGCTGCGTCTTCAGGGGACTGCAGGCAATGATTCGGGTGGAAGAATAGAGCTCCAGTCGGAAGACTCAAACATGGCTCTGTCCAGGGAAGTACTGATGGCACTTGCAGGGACATAGAGCCACCACCAAAGGCTTTCTGAGTACCAGGGATGTTGCTGGGGATGGTTAGCACACCTGGTAGTGTGCTTTCTCCTCTTGTCCACACCATCAGAGGATTCTCTGGAGGACTGTCCTGCGGTTAAACTCACCTGTACTCACTCTGTGGCCACTTAACCCTTGCCAGCTAAGCACATGTGAGAAATAACTGCTTCTTACCTTGTTTACATTGCCAGATCTAGATACCTATTTTTGTGGTGCTGGGACTTGAGCCCAAGGTACATTAGTCAGGGCGCTCTCACATCCTTGATTCAATCCAGTGCCACTTCTAGGTTCCTATTTTATGGAACCAATTACCCTTTGTGTACCATGTCCTCTTTTGTTATCTCTACAGTTGCCCGAAGCCCAGTTATGTAGAACTTTGCTCTTCTTTCCTATCCAGTGAAGCTAATGTGAGGCTTTCCTCTATATCCTCTCACCCAGTAAGGTCAGGTTTTCATACTGACCCTCATTTTTTTTTTTTTTTAAATCCACTATCCTTATCTCATTTCAGTCTTTATCTCATTAAAGTCTTTAAAATTCCTGAGGCATTTTCATGGCTTCTTGGATTCCAGTTTTGCCCAGACAAGGAACTTTCACTGCCCTGTTTCTGCTCAGCGGCCTTGCTCCGTTTATCCTGCTCATGGTTAGTGGCTGTTCTGCATAGGCCTGTTTACACTGTTCTCTTCCTGCTCTCACTGTGAGCCGCCCTTTTCCCTTTTCTGTTACAGTTTAGTCTAGGTTGTTGATTACCTGCAAATGACTTAGGAAAGGGAAGAGTGACTGGGTTCTGTGCCACCTCTCTTCCTGTGCTGGGAGGGCTCACCCACCCACCCCGAGGAAGGCGTGAGGCTGTCCAGTGGAGCTCTGGAGCCCCCCTCCAGTGCTGGCTGTGTGCACTTCATGCTTCCTGTGCTACCCCACAGTCCTGTCCATGCTTCTGACAATGACGGCGTTACTGAAAATCTCAGCTGACTGCACACTTCCTCTCAGGTGGGAATGAGGCGGGAACAAAAATCAACCAACTCCCTCTGTTGGCTTCCACTTTTCAAAGCATAAAGTGAGAGGCAGCCAATCTTTTCTGAAAAGGACCAGAAGTAAGTATCTTAGGTTCTGCAGCCCATAGTTTACATACACTTATTTTTTTTTTTTTCCCTATACAATTCTTTAAAACTACAGGAAAAAAGTTTTAGATTTTACACTGTAACAAGACAGGTCCCACTTAGGGTTCCACCTATGGATTGAAGTCTGTAGTCCCCTGGTGTGAGCTGGTTTTGAAGGTCTCAAACTCAGGGTTCCTTCCTCAATTTCCTAAGGGCTGGGATCACAAACATACTCTCATCCCTGGGGTTCCCCCCCCCCATCATTTCTTTTTTCTTATTTTACGTATATGAGGTTTTGCCTGTATGTAGGTTTAAGTGTATCACTTGTGTGCTTGGCACCCACTGGAGTGATAGACAGTTATGAGCTACCATGTAGGTGCTGAGAAATGAACCCAGGTCGTCCTCTGAAAGAACAGCAAGTGTTCTTAATTGCTGAGCCATCTCTCCAGCCCCAGACCATAGTACAGAGTGCAAACTACAACCATCCTCAACTCCAGAAAGATAAAATGCCCTTGCCCTTGTGAGGCTTACATTTTATCTGGCCAACAAGAGGCAGACAACTGAATATGTGGTGATAACTGTTATGGAAAGAAAAACCTTTTTCTTCATGTTAATAAGAACAGATTCTGCCCAGAAGAAGGCCAAGATGGAGATAAATACAGTAAAACTATTTAAGTCACAGCTCTAAATTCCAGAGCAGAAGCTGACATCCATCTTCTTTCCTGCTTCAAGGTAACTGGAACAATTTTGAGCTAAGGAACGAATGCTCAAAATGGTTACTCACTGTACACATATACACTGAGCAATGGGAACAAGCAGTCCACAGGACAGCCCAAGCCACTCCATAAGGAACTTACCATAAGTCTCCAAAACAAACGATCACAGATGTGACAGGGTTATCAAGGGGGAGGTGTAGAAACCATCCACATTTTATCTGATTATTTAATTCTGACATATATTTGCTGTAAGATTCTGAAAATGAATTAGTTTCAATTGTATGCCAGAAATAAAAATGACAGTAATAGATGTTCAATTATTATTTGACACTAATAGTCAGTCCACTGGTTAGGACAATGCTATCTAAATGGCTTTCAAACTAAAGTAAATTCATTGAAATGAAGAAATTAAGCCAGAGGTGGCGGCACATGCCTCTAATCCCAGCCCTTAGGTGCAGATGCTAGAGTATTACCTCTTGATATAATCTCATTTACACAACCCAATGTTATAAGAAGAAAAAGGTGTTTTGTTTTGTTAGGGTTTTCAAGTTAGGATTTCTCTGTGTAACAGCCTTGGCTGTCCTGAAACTCTGTTTGTAGACCAGACTGGCCATGAACTCACAGATCTCCTTCTGCCTCTACCTCCTGAGTGCTGGGATTAAAGGTATTTGCAATCACTGCTTTGCTAAAGTTTTAAAAGCCCAGAATTAGTAATCCCATTTTTCTCTCACCTTGGTCACCAAGTACCAGGGCACCAGCTTCCAAAGCAAAATCTCCAGAGGAACTGTCTTTTGAAAGAGTTACTGTGAGTCCAGAGCTGGTGGTGGTATTTCCACAGACATACACACCACGAGGTGCCACATTGCATGCTGCCTATTAAATACAAAAGGTTTAAAAGAATCATTTAAAAGGCTAGAAAGATGGCTCAATGGATAGTTCTTGTTACCATGCAGCATGAGAACCTAAATTCAGATCCCCAGCTCCCTTACAAAAGCTGGATATAACAGGAGTGGAGATTAGCTGGCCTGACAGTTTACCCAAAATAACAAGTTCCAAAGTTCAGAGAAAGAATCCACCTCCAAGAGTAATGTGCAAGGTGATAGAAGTAAACACCTGATAACAACTGACTGCCTTCACACAACACACACACCCGCATGCACACAAGCATGTGCGCGCACGCACACACACACACACACACACACACACACACACACACAGGCACACAAACCCCAGTTCAAAAAGAAAGACTAATCATAGTCAACGGCTCAAATCCAGGGGTGTAGCACATGTTAAGTGTTCCCTGAAGTCTTTTCATTTTTGATGGACATTTAGGATGTGCGCCACAAATGTACTAGTGCCTGTAGAAGCAAGAAGCGGTACTGGATCTTCTGGACATGGAATTACAGATGATTCTGAGTCACCTGATAAGGGTCCTCTGGAAGGGCAGCAAATGTTCTCAACTGCTGAGATACTTTTTCTCCCCGAACAGGGTCACAGGGTCTCATGTAGCTGAAGCTGTCATCCTCAAACTCACTATGTAATACAGAGGATGATACTGAAATGCTGGTTCTATAAGGGTACACCACCACACAGATGTTGTGTGTAACAAGCAAGCATTCTATCAACTGAGCCACGTGCTCAGGCCTCTTTGTTAGTCTTACAATGATCTGTGAGTGGGGTGGCTTACTAAGTGATCAGAAGACAGTAGGAATATAAATGTTAAGTGGTTCCCAAAAGTGCTGGTCTCATTTTTTAAAAACCTGATCTCTAATATTACAGCTTTTAAAAATTGTTTTTAATGTTCTGGGATTTGTGTGTGTGTGTGTGTGTGTGTGTGTGTGTGTGTGTGTGTGTGTGTGTGTGTGTGTGTGTGTGTGAGAGAGAGAGAGAGAGAGAGAGAGAGAGAGAGAGAGAGAGAGTTTTACATTCATGTATAAAGTGTACCACCTATATGCAGTGCCTGTGGAAGCCAGAAGAGGGTGTCATATCCACTTGAACTGGAGACACAGTTGTGATCTGCTATGTGGTTACTGGAAACCAAATTCAGGAACCAAATTCAGGTCCTCTTCAGGAGTACCAAGGGCTTTTAGCCAGCAGGTCATCTCTCCAGTCTCTACTTTAACTTTTACTATAAACTTTGTTTCATTTATAACTAGGTAACACTTGCCTCAGGTATCAGGCTGTTGCAAGGGCTCAGAACAAATTAAAGTAGGCTCTTCTGGCCAGATAACCAAACAGGGGTACAATGTTTTAAAGGAAATAAAAAGACTGGTTTAGCTGAGGAGGCAAAGGCAGGTGGATCTCTGTGAATTTGAAGCCAGCCTGGTCTACAAAGCTACACAGAGATACCCTGTCTCAAAAACAAAACAAAACAAAACAAAACAAAACAAAACAAAACAAAAAAGCTGGGTAGTGGTGTTGCATGCCTTTAATTCCAGCACTTGGGAGGCAGAGGCAGGGGAATCTACAAAGCAAGTTCCAGGACAGAGAAAGCAATACAAAGAAACCCTGTCCCAGGGACAGAAGAGAGGAAAAGAAAAAAAGGGACTGGCTTAGTATTAAACCACAGGGAATAAAGATGACACATGTAAAGGGTGGTAGGATGAAAATGCAACCTTGTTTGCACATCAGGACCACCTGTGGGGCACTACATATATGTAAGTACTAGCTTTAGGCTGCCTGTACTATCTTCAGAGTTTCAATTACTCAGTTACTACCCAAAGCTTCATCAGCACAGGACTGACTGCAAGAAGGAGGGATTTTGTGGACATCCTTAAGAAGGACATAGCTGGGTATCACACTGAGAAAATCAAAAGCTTTCCAACAAACTACCTTCTAGAGCCATCATGAATGAACCCAAAAGGGATGCACCATCAGGCACTGGCTAAAAGAGATAGAATAGTCTTTTGAGGGTAACAATTGACTGGTCAAAAAAGTTGCTTTGGATGCAGAGAAATGGTGACGATGTACACAAAGATTTCTTACCTTTACCAGAATATTCTGAAGTACTAACAAGATGCTTAGGTATGTGTATGGAAGGAATATATGACCCAACTTTACTTCCTTTACTATTCTGTTCATTGTTGTAGTCCCATCGCAACAGACTAGCAAAGCATTACTAGGGATAATAATGGGTTGCGTGGCAGGAAGCCACAACGTATATAACTCACACCAACTCCAGTTCCCCTATACCCCTAGACAAACTAGATCCTCTGCAACCCAAACATACTATACGTTGAGAAATATATGCCAATTATTCATACATTATATAAGCAAAAGGCAAAACACTAAATAATTGACTTTCTACCTGCAGCATCTGACTCTTTCCCAAGCCTGGATCTCCAACAATCAGGATGTGTGGGTCTCCTCGAATGGGAATCCTGTTTTTGTCATCTGCGTACTTTTGGCTACCGCCAAAGAGCGCTAACACCAAACCTGCTTTAACAAGCTCGTGTGGAAGGAAAGAACAAAAAAGAAAAACATCAAGATGACTAGCAAGAGGCATTCCTGCATGGTTACAGCATGAATTGTTTAGCTGGAGATTATTTCCCCTTCACAGTGCTGATGGAGCCCAAGCCTAATTGGTCAGATGCTTTACCCCTGAGCTATACCACCAGCCAGGATACTTTTAAACATGACTGAACTTTATTTATTTTTTTACAATGAGGTCAAGAAACAAAGCTAGGCATGTCTACAATCCCAGAGCTTGAGATAAAGACACAGGAAGGTTATGAGTTCAAGGCCTTTGCAAGAACAACAAGTGTTTTTAACTGCTAAGCCATCTCTCCAGCCCCTACTGTACGGACTTTAATGTTAAGTTTATTTGAGACAAAAGTTAGGGATGCTGAAATTGGTACATGTACAAGAGGACTAAAAACAAAGACTAAAAGTATATAAATCAGTGGTATCTTAGAAATTGCTAAGAGCAACTTTGTAAGCCAGAAATCTATTCCCAAATGAAAAGCAACCATTGGTGCCTACTTTAACTTTGTGTCTACTTACTTTGTCTATTTGTTAAAGGTGTCCATTCCCAGTAACTGTCAATAGTTCCAGGGGGCTATTATTTGCCCCCCACATAATCAACTTGTAGAGAATGATGATTCATATTAAAATATTAATAACTAGTAAGAGAATCTCATAATACTTTTTAGTATTAATATTGCCAACTTGATGTACCTTTTGAATGAAGGTGAATATACTTACTTCATGACCAAAAATGACAGGACAAAGTGAGCTGAAAAATAAAATACAAATTATAAATTCTAACTTAAATAGCATAAGTGCATTAGAAGATCTACTTCACAATTTGCTTAATTTCCTTTACTAGTAACTAGAAGGAGAGCAAATTTTACATCTTCTCAACCCCACAAATTTTATTCATACAGAAACTTTATTATTAAGTCTTACTTAATCTATAAAGGGAAGAATGCTTTAAAATCCATGCCTCTCTGAGGAGGTACATTAAACACATCTTAAAGTAACTCAATACACAGCTGACCTTACAGAATTAACACTTAAAATGTTATCAGGTTTTCCACATTCCCAAAGCCCTTGTCTTATTTGAACGGCCATCTTTAGACCTGTGTAGTCAAGTCCACAAAAGGAAGACACTAACCAGTGAGCTTAGCACAAATATCACTATTTTAAGGTAGCACACAACTTCACTTCTTTTCAGTTCAATGCAGAAGGGTCAGATCAAGTGTGAACATAAGGAAACAGATCTACAAGGGTTAGAGAGATGATTCGGCCTATAGAGTGCTTGCTGCAAAAGCATAAAGATTTCAGACTCCCAGAACTACATTAAAAACCAAGTATAAGCAGGGTGATGAGGGCACATCTTTAATCCCAGCACTCTAGATAGAGGCAGAGGCAGGCAAATCTCTGAGCTTGAGGCCAGCCTGGTCTACATAGTGAGTTCCAGGACAGCCAGGACTACACAGAGAAGCTATGTCTCAAAAAACAAGCAATGCCCACCCCCTTCCAAAACACCCACAGGTATAGTGGGAAGCTGTAACCCTAGCACTAGGGAGACGGAGACACAGAATCCCTGGTGCTCACTGCCCAGCCCAGCCAATCTCTAAGCTCCAGGTTCACTGAGAGACTGGCTCAAAACATAAGATGCTTAGCAATAGAGAAACACAAGGAACATACCTGATATCAGCATAACACATGCACACAAGTGCACACAAGCCCATGCACACATGCATGTGCATGTGTGCACATACACACACACACACACACACACACACACACACACAGTATTTGCATGTGTCAATTTTGTAAGTAAGGAATAAACAAATAAAAAAAAACAAATAGGAAGGGTAGTAGTCAGGAGTAAAGTGTGAATCTTCCTCCTGTTTTAATAAATGTAAACAGATCCTGGTGTCCTTTGGAACTAATCTTTACCTTGTTCCAGTCTGCCTGCTTCCTACCAAGTACTTGTGCCTGTGACTTTTCTATGGCCATAGAAGCATCCTCAGTAGACACAAGGGGAGAAGAGAAATGCTGGGCTGCTCCTCAAATCTAGGTCCCCAGGAGGCATTGTCATTAGGGCACCATAGCCCACGTGCCATCTCTCCTCTGTATTATTCCTGCCTTCCTGCCACTTCTGAATTCATCTCCCAAACAAATGACATTTCACCAAACCATTGCTTCTAAGGAATCTAAACAGATAATCACTGTGTATTGACAATTCTAATACCATCTTCTCTGTTCTCTTGTGGTCCTCCATTCGTTATCTAGTATTGGTCAATAAACTAAAGGTTCAGGATGTAAATAATTTCAGTTCTGTAGAGTGTAGTGACTCAGTCTCTAGCATTCAACTTGTGGAAAGCAACCACTAACAACATGCAAATCAACCAGGTGCCATGTGTTTCACTAAAAATCTCCTAAAAGCAGCTGCCTTCTTTGCCAATCTGCTAGATTAGTAAAGTGAAAGGCGATTCCTTGAAACCTTTAGTTTGGATGATGAAGTCACAAAACGAAGAGAGAGAGAAAAAAGGTAAACGGGTGAGTGGTGTCAAAGAAGGGTCACTAAGAGGCTGCTTCACTGATAACCGCTAAGAATGACAGATGGCTGTTCCTGGGGTACCTGCCTGCCTGTTCACACAACTCCCATGTAGCTTTCACATGCTGACCCTTTCACAGCATTGGCTTTCCCAGAGTAGGTCAGGGTGGCTTATCTGGTGGGAAACTCCGAGAGTTTATGGACAAGAACTCAAGTGACTTAAAACTTTCCTCCGTTGGTAAACAGACACACAAAAACAGAAAGGAAGACTCAATTCTGGAGGCTGAAGCCTTGATCATTTTCTTCCTTCACCTCTCCTAGGTATGGGAACTTTTCATTCAGTCTCTTGATTTCCTCATTTCCTCAAAACTACCCCCAAAATGTCAAAATGCCAAAAGTATACTATATCAAGTATGATAAGTATATTACACACTAATAGCTACATAGCAAACTTTCTGTGTGAGACAGTCATCGTTTAAGTATCATTTTTTTTTCTAAAAAGACATAAGTATAAACCCCCTTGCCATGTATTATTTTTTGTTGCTACTACTCACTCATGTCACCACAGTGCAAAGGCACCTAGGACATCATCTAAGTGACTAAATGTCGTTTTGTTCCAATAAAGCTTTATTTATGGACACGGAAAACGGAATTTCATTTAATATTGAATAATGAAGTACTCTTCTTTTTTTTTTTTTTTTTTTTTGAACTGTTCAAAAACACACACAAAAGCCCTCACGAGTTCTGGAACAAGTGGCCTATGAACTCATTTATTGACTACTCTGACTAGTTTTTGTTTTTTTTTTTTTTTTTTGACAAGTAACCAAGAGCATGCTGACATGCACATCCACAACAAAGCTCGGGTCACTAAGACATACTTGACAATGAGCTTCAGCAGGTTCTCTTCAGCCTGAATCTCTTGGATGGCATACAGGTCTTTAAGTGAGAACTCCATCAATGTCCCATGCTGACAGACACCCTCTGCAGTCTGTGCTTTCTGTCCTTTGCTGTTGCTGACAGAATTTGCTTCAACGTACAAAAGGAACATGCACTTATCATTCTTATTCCGAGAACCTGTAAATTCAAAATACCAATGTATTGTTTTCATTTTCCATACAATTTGACTGAGTTTATGACTCAGTGACTTTACTCATTCACTTCAGGCTTTTTTAGAGACTGGCCTCAAGACTAACCTCAAACTGTGACAATCCTTCTACATCGGCTTCCTGAGGACTAGAACACTTCATCTTACACAGAAACAAGGAATTTCTAAGTTATTTGAGATGAAGAAGTAGCTTACACAGATTTAAAAAAAAGAGCCAACCTATCACTGTTTCGAGACAGTCATGAAGAAAGTTACAACATACCTTCTTCAGTGTTGGAGACTTTGACAACTCCAGTAATAGTCACTGTATCTCCTGGGACGCAACTATCTACAAGATCATGAGCAAGTTCACACTCTATTGTTCGAGGGATCCGCCCTGCATCACTCTGTGCATCAGACATCAGTTCCTGTATTCTACGGCATTCAACAGTTTTCAGTTACAATACATCTAACTTTCAGTGGTTTCTTCAACACAGTGACTATTCAGGATCTGCACAATGCTAAGGCAGATTGATTTTTAAAGAGTTCAATGGTATCTCAAAAATCACGTTAACGTTTTCCAATTCTTATGTCAGAATGAACATATGTATTCATTTCTTGTGGCATCCTGCAAGAATCCAACAAATAAGACTCACCAAAGAAGTGAAGACAAGTTTGGAGAATGCAAAAGTGGTATTAACATATGAGGTACGAGTGAAATTTCTGAAGAGCAAATCGTAAAATAGTGATGGATGAGCACAATTAAGTCCAGACTGCAAAGACAAAACTCACAAGGGTACAGAGAAGTGGCACCCAGGTTCTCAGCAGAGCCCCAAGAGGTACAAAAAGTGGGGGGGGGGGGGAGAGCAGGCAGCAATGAGCAGTACAGAAATAAGTGTTTCAAATGTCTTTGGAAGGAGTGGGCAATCAGGTAGGAAAGAGTGAGAGCTTACACCAGGCAGCAGGAGCGCTGTCTATAGAAATGGACAGGTTTCTTCTAAGAGGGGCACTAAGATGTTCATGAGACAAGCTCAACTCCAGAAATAAAGCCTTTGAGAAGCTCAAGCCAACTCAAGAATACTCAGAATAACCAGGACTCCCATTTACTGGGGAAGATTTGAGGAGGGGCTCCAATCCATGGAGAGCTACAGAGATGACCCCAACTCCCCAAACATCTCTCACCTCATCGCTGAAATGGCAGTAATTCAAGGAAGAGAAAATGAAATACAGGAGTCTAAAAGCATGTCATAAAACAAAAATGAGGTGTTCTGAGATGGGAACAGACAGAGGACAAGTATGAAATCAGAAAATGAAAGTCACCATGGTAAAGTCAGGGTGGCACATGTCCATAACCCCAGTGCTCAGGAGACTAAGACAGCACTGTGGGTACAAGATTACACATGGACTACAATTAGTCTCAATACAATGACAACAAAGCACATAAAAAGCAAACATTTCTAGAAATGATACAACAAAGAGCCAACAATTTGGAAAGCATGCAGAGAAATGAAAGGGTAAAGCAAACCTAAAGCAATGGGTAACATAAGGGAGGCATCTGACTGGAAGTCCACAGAGAAAGTAGTGGATAGTGTACTGGACAGCTAAAGACAACTCAGGAACAAAAAGTGTAAAGGGGCAAGAAGATAACTGCTCCTTCACCATTTCATAACTGCACAAGTAAAGAGACTATGGGGGCGGGCAGGGTCCAGTACCCTAAAGGGAATGAGAGTCAGAATTGCATCAGAACTTCCGCTAACATCAGGGAGAGCAAGAACTAAATACACTCAAGGAGCTGTCTGACCTTTTTTTTTTTTTTTTGAGGCAGGGGTGGTGGTGGTGTCATAAACATAATCAAAAAAGCTGGAATGACTACAGGAAAAACACAAATAAGGAGACTGGAGAGATGGTTCAATGTTTTAAAATGCTGGGGGAAAATGAGTACATATCATAAAATAGCCCACTTTTAAGTGATTATCTAAAACTTCAACAATATCACAGCCCATCATGGAGTATGAAATGAGTCAAATTGAACCACTTTTCAGTAGCAGTGGATGTAATAGATGTATCCTTTCTAGAATGCAGTGACCAATCAATTTCAAAGAGATAATTACCATTTTAAAACATAGGCTCATCAAAGAATGCCACGACACATATAATAACACCACATGCTTCTTTCACGTAACATTCTGAGTACTTACTTGATCAGCTGCCAGTCCACTGTAACTGTGAGGGGGGAGCTGCGCAAAGGAGCAAACGACTTCCCTCGACACGCAGGCACAGGACACTGCAGCACAAGATTTACTTTCAGCTTCTGGTAAACCATGACCACATCTTGAGGTAACTGAATTACAACCTCACCCATGTCTTGTTACAATCTTCAGATGTCATTCTTGGCCCTTTTCTAGCTGACACTTCTCATTTCCTGTACGTACTTTTTGCTGTGAGTAGCCAAAGCTCCCAACTCATCACCGTATCATATATCTTTTCCTTCCTCTCCTGGAATCTGGAACCTACTCAACTGTGTCAGGATGGTGCATGAGAAGCCAAGGAGGTTTATGAAAGGCAGTGTTCTGCCTACCAATTGATCCCTTTTCACAGTAGCTATCAGTAGCCCTGAGCAGACTACATGCTCTGAATTGCCATCATATGTGCAAAAAGCCAAAACCAGCCCATTAGAAAGGTGCCCAGCCAGAATACCTCCCTCTACCAGCTCTAGCCATCATTTGTTGGCAACTCCATAGAGACTAAGAGGCAGAATTACCCAGGTAAGGGTTCTTCCAGCCTTCAAAAGTAAGAAATCATGAGGAAAAAAATAAAAATAAAGTCTTATGGGCCATTTGCTCTCCAACAGCTCTGTTCAAGGGCACTGGGAAGTGTTTTCTGTAATCTGATGTGCCTTTGTGAAGAAGACAGAAGGTAGAGTCAGTTAAAGAGCATATCACCTTTGTAGGAAGACTGTACTTCCCATCGGGCAGAGGGAAGCTCTGGATCTCTCCACATGCAGCACAACGGAAAGCCATCTTGGTACAAAGAGGCTTTATGTTACCAACACGAACCACGGTCCCTCTTATAGAGATGTACTTCCCGTAGCAGTTTGCTCGGACGTTCTTGAGGTGTGTTAAGGGCTCATAGTTGTACACTCTAAAAATAAAACAATGTGTCCAGCTTATTATAAACTTTAAATTAATGAACAGAGAGGTGTACTTTCCAAGTTCCTTTTGTGAATCCATCACAGAAATCTCACATGAGTTAAACTTTATTAAAAATGAAAAATGCTAGATCCCATATGTTGCTGTCTAGGGAAAAAGTGAGAGGGAGAGAATTAAAGAAGAAAAAGGAAGCTGCTGTGGTGGCACACGCCATTAACACCAGCACTCAGGAGGCAGAGGCAGAAGGATCTCTGAGTTTAGCCAGCCTAGTCTACAGAGTGAGTTCTAGGACAGCAGGGGCTAACAGAGAAACCCTGTCCTGAAAAACAAACAAACAAACAAAACAAAAAACAAAACAAAACAAAAAAACAAAGAAAGGAAAAATAATTTCAAAAAGAAAATTCTATAGATACAGTGACTTTTGGGTTTCTAACTTTTCCAATTTTTTCCCATTTCTCTCCTTTTGTTTTTTGTCGTTTTGAGACAGACCTTAAACTCTGAGATCTGCCTGTTTCTGCTTCTCCGGTGCCGGGATTAAAGGTGTGCACCACTATATCTGAACTAACTTCTTTTTAAAGAGCTGTTACAAAATAGCTCCTATAAATTTTTGGAAGAGAAAAATAAAACCCTGCAGTTTAAAGAATTAAAAACCCTGAAAATACTACAAAGATGAGCTAGACAGCATTTATTCCGTGTCTCATGTAAACAAAGTGCACACCACTTAGTGTACTCCACAAATTATCACATTTATATGCTAGTCTTGACAAGTTCAAAAACAACCTTCACAGAGGTTTCAGGTCAGGAAATCAGCTTACTTGGATAGAAAAATACTTTTATCATGATGTCTTAGACTAACTCTCAGTAGGCACTTTGGTTATGGTGTCAAATTAGCAAGGAACATTGATTTCCTTATTTATATAAACTGAGGTTCTCATTCTGTTTCTCAGGGGTTTTTTCCTTTTCTTTTCTCATCATTTACTGATTTGTGCATGCAAGAGCACACGAGTGTACCATGGTGTGCATATGGAGATCAGAGGACAACTTGTGGGAGCTGACTCTCTCCCTCCACTATATGGGTTCCGGGGACTAAGCTCAGCTCATCAGGCTCAGTGGCAGCATATCTTACCCACTGAGCCATTTCACCAACCTAAGGTTCGTGTTCTTAAATGCTTTCCACTACTCGAAAACACGTGAGTAAGAAAGGATACACTAAATATAGTTCACAAGGGAAGAAATACAAATGACCAACAGATATTTGTAGAGATTTTCACCATCAATTAGGCACCAGGGAAAAGTAAAATAAAACTGCTTTGAGATTTCATCTCACTCAGTAAGAATGGCTATGGAAAATGATCGTATGACTCAGCTATACCACTACTGGGTAGAAACCTGAAGGATTCTGAGTGAGCACACCACAGATACTTGCACACTCCTGTTTACTGCTGTACTAGTCACAATAACCAAGGTAAGGAACTAGCCATTATCCATAGATAAATGGATAGGGAAAATGTAACACATAATGGAATTTTATTAAATTGTAAAGAATGGAATTATGACACATGAAAATGGATAAAATTGGAGATCTCTGTTAAGCGAAATATGCAAGATTCAGAACTATATACTGTATGCTTGCTCTCATACATGAAATATAGATTTTTAGACAACACACATGAAAGTAGAAAGGACAAGTCTGAAAGGAGATAGGAGGGGTAAACAAAAGCGGGTAACATAATCTCTGTGCCATTAAAATAGAAGTGGGGACTAAGGGGAGAAAGGGGTCTAGTCAAAGGCTGAAAGGGGAAATAAGTGAGGTCAGTGGGAGATGGGATGAAAATTTAAAAAAAGTCATGTTATGTGCATAAAAGTTTCACAATGAAGCCCATATGTTTGTACAATAATCAAAAAGCTACTGAGAAAAAATAGCATCAAGTTTCTCACCTTGCAAAAATATGTGGCACATTCACCATTGTTTCTCCATCATTAGACAATCCTTCCTGAGCTTGTAATTCAGCTGCATGCCGCTCAAGGTCCTTGGTTAAAACCTTAGTCAAAAATTGAAAAATAAATACTCTTTAAGCAGAACTCTCATAGAGAACCCAAAGTTCACGAACAGCTCAAAAAATAAATAAGTAAAATAAACATACTGTGATAATCAGTTAAAAGACTGATAATTGGTTATGACTATTTATTTTGCAGTAGATTGTTTTATTTGGGATCCTCTTGTACATGTACCAATTTCAGCATCCCTAACTTTTGTCTCAAATAAACTTAACATTAAAGTCCGTACAGTAGGGGCTGGAGAGATGGCTTAGCAGTTAAAAACACTTGTTGTTCTTGCAAAGGGCTGAGGTTCAGTTCCCAGCACCCATGTGGTGGCTCAAAACCATCCATAAGTCCAGTTCTAGAGGAACAAATGCTGCTTCTGACCTCTTTGGGTACTAGTCACACACAATATACACATACATATGTGCAAAACATTCACACACATAAATTAAAAGCCCTCAAAGCTATTACCCACTTGGTTCCACTAAAAAAAAAAGAAAAAAAAAATCTGTAGGGCATGCCTTAGCTTATGCCAGAGAAGGATGGGAAGGTGACAAGGCAAGATGTCTCTGTCATTTCTAGAGTTTATATACTATCCTTCTGTGGTCTTTGAAGGAGTTGAAGACAGATAGTTATGGTTATAGTCTTCCTTAGTTAAGATTAAAGATAAGTTACATATGGGACTTTAGACTCACAAAGATAGATGATGGAGTATTTTCTTAAATCTTGCTAAATGTTAATGGACTAAATATTGTTAACTGTGATTCTTATTTGATAACTGTTGTGTGATATATTTTGCTTTGTTAAGGTTAAAACCCTTTTTATTTAGACAGAAAAGAGGAGATGATGGGAGATGTCATTCTGTAAATATGTTTCTCATACTAGTTAATGAATAAACACTGTTGGCCAATAGATAGCTAGATAGGCGGAAAGAGGAAGTAGGAAGGACAAGTCAAGATGGAGAGTCTGGAGAAAGCAGAACCGCCAGCCGCCTCTCCGTTAAGACCACGTGGAAATACATAGAAATGGGTTAATAATTAAGACAGAGCTAGCCGATAAGAAACTAGTACCTGGCCAACAGCATTATATCTAATACAGAGTCTCTGTGTGTTAATTGGGGTAGGCACGGCAGCAGAACAAGACCGGCGGCGGGCGGAAAAACCATACTCTTTACAGGAAGGAATTGTGCTTAAGAGCATGTTAGAGAGAGGGAAGAGATGACATGGTTGCCTGGCTAGAGAAATAATGGACTGGATGAGTCTGAAGGCAAGACGCAAGGTGACCCATGCAGGGTTTCCAGCAATGCACACACTTGTGTGATGATCTGTTCATTGCACCTGGACTGTCCTGACCTCACCTACATTTTCCCTGAGCTTCCCCCATTCTACCCCACCTCTGAAGGCACCCAGCACTCATCTGTGCCTGCCCTGGGATCTGCTTCCCTCGACCTGGAACCACTTATGTGGGTGCTTTCAGGTGCTGTGTCGTCTGTCCCTGAGAAAAACTGATACAAGCATCGAGCAACTGTTACTCCCAGTTTACACATGGGACTCTTGGAGAAATAAATGATTTTTCTGATGCCAAAGAAACTACATGTGAGATCAGTCCTTTTGCTCCAAGTTCCTGACATCATGCGTGTTTTATATTTCATATGAAATCAGATGCCGCCTCAAAGATACCGCCTCAAAAAGGAAGTATGATTTCTGTATCTTTAATGAGATTAAACTGATTCATGTAAATTGTATGTACGCTGAACTTGTTATCTCTTAGGGGAAGTCTGCAATCCTTAAATTCTAACCAGCTTCTGTTGGTAAAAGCTAAGCACCTTTTAAAAAGTACTAACACTATGGTATCTCCATTTAAAACGTTGGCCAAATTTACCTGATGTATTGCGAGACCCATGCACGCCAATGTTTTCTCAGGGGTATCTCTTAGTTCATTTTCTATATCTGGTATCAAGTTAGTTATTTCATCATCTTTTGTCAGTTCTTTAAAATCCACCAAAATGCTTCCCTTTCTTTCTATTTCATCCTATAAAAGATTAAAATTGAAAAATAACAATTGCTTTTTTGTGGTGTTATATTGTTTATGATCTAATAAAATTTGCCTGGAGATCAGAATGCAAAGCTAGCCACACTAGTCAGCCATTGAGCCCAGGCAGTGATAACACACACCTTTAATCCCAGCAGCCACATTAGTTAGTCAGAGAAGGTGAGCAGTGATGGTGCACACCTTTAATCTCAGCACTAGAGAGTAATATATGGCAAGAGGAGACAGTCTGAGTGAGTCTGAGGAGCAGTGCAATCTGGAGATGCAATCTGAGATTCAGTGGATCACCCTTTCAGTCTGAGCATTGGTAGAGGTGAGAACTCTCTAGTGACTGGCTGCTTTGCTTTTCTGATCTTCAATCTGAACCCCGATATATGTCTCTGGGCTTATACTATTCGGATAGTATAGCTTTTTTGAGTCAGTTATCGTAACTGACCATTTAGTATGTACTTTGAGAAAGCATGGAATAGTCACATAGTGATAATTCTAAGTTCCATTACACAGCTGTATTGTAATTTTTATATACATATACTTAACAAACTTGAAATTTGTATTTATAGCAATATCTCCAAGGATGAGAAAGCTAAAGTAGAGAGAATGTAATCTGTTTAGGTCCACACTGCTGGTGAATGGTAGAGCCAGGATCAAGCTACAGCCATCCTGTTCTGGCACTCATGCTCACTAGCACCTGAAATATAAGGTCCAGTTATTGGTCCCAGGAAGACAGACCGCCAATGTTGTTGAAAGCACTCACCTTATCATAAAAGTCAATGTGCCTTGTGAAAAACTTCTCAAATGCTTGAATCTTCTCAATAAAAGGAGAGCTATTACTGTAAACTAATCCAACAAATACAAGATTAGCACCAACAATCACACATGGCAGTATTTATATTATCCTGACAGATCCCTAGAAACCATAAACTTTCCCCCTTACTTAGTTTGTATTGTTTGTATTGTGAGTACATTTGAATAAATGTAATGAATACTTGATAAATGAATACTTGAGATTCTAAAAAAAAAATAAAAAACTGATTTATGAATAACCTGAAATATCTATAAAAGCCCAAATATCTGAGATTCTTTCTACTGAATCTCTTCAAATGGTATATCAACTAAGCATTATAATAAATGCAAAAACCATACACATGAACAGCAGAGCTAAACATAACTACTGTCTTTGCAAAGTAAATTCTACTTGTTTAATCTGCAATTTTATAAATTATTTGCAAAGATCTGGAGACAGACTAATGCTTAATTGTAATCTCAAACTGAATGCCACACACACACACACACACACACACACACACACACACACACATATATTTACAAAGTTTTATAATGTCTTTAAATTTCTCTCTTACAGAAACAATGCATCTGGGTCAATTTTAAGCAAGGCATCCCTGAATTCCATCTTTAGTAATCTAAAGGTCATAGTTTTCCAAGGACAATAATGGACATGTTGGTAGTTACTGTATCCTAAAGGAATAAAGGCTCTTCTGTGAAACACATCTATCAAGTTAATAGGGAGGGGAAAGAATTCATTCACAAAGTGAATACTGAAAGTCTGTCACAAGACAGGATCTTGACCACAAGCAATATAATATGGGGGGGGGGGGAGTGGCATACAATTATAATATAAACAAGAACAAAAACCACACTTCATAAAAGTTACAGTAAACATGTAGATCACATAAAAAGACAGAAGAGCAACATTTCCACAGTTCACCAAAAAAAATGTCTAATAGGAAATGGTATTCTTTTCTACACAAACCTGAAGTGGCATTTATCTCTTGGTTCCAAGCTTATTACCCTGTCTCTTGCCATGACAATGACTGGCATCTGTGCTTAAGTTCCCAGGCAACATTAAGGAGACACTGTAAGGACTGGAAGGTGGCAAGAAGTATGAAAGAAACTATTCTTGATTTTATTCATTTTTTTAAAGATTTACTTCTATGCATATGTGTATGTCTATGTTAAGTACATCACATGTGCAGGTGTCTGCAGGGGCCAATAGAGGGTTCTTCTGGGAACCAAGCTCAGAGCCCCTAGAACAGTGCACATGCTTAGCTCCTGAGCCACCTCTCCAGTTCTTTCAGTATCTCTGCTACCTCACAGGACAGCTGTATTTCCAAGCTCCAGGACCCAAGCAACATCTGACAAGTCCTCAGTTACCAGGAACAACCAGCTTCATTCAACTGTGTTCCCAGCACAAAGTTGGATGCCTTTCCAAGTCTCAAGGCACAGCTTTGGAGGGTGCCCTGAGATTAAAGCAACACCTTTCTGTGCCTCCACCTTTGAACTCCCAACTTCTGACAACCTTGGAACGTCTTGATTTTTGTTCTGCCTCGGCCACAAGGATCAGACTACTGTGTCTGGAAATCACTACTTTCCGGGACGTTACCTCAGTGTTTCCTTTCTGCTTCTTCGTCTTCCATACACACATCTAATTCTTTGTATTAAATTCCTTTTTGAAACACTCACCAGTTTCTGTGTTCCTGATACATATATAAAAATAATGCTTCTAACAAATGCTTAGAAGAGCAAAAGGCATATATCAGATATTCAACAGAATCGTGGTAACATGTAATGTAGTATCCAGAGATGAACATTTAACTCCTGGTACTTTGAAGCTTTTTAACTCTACCTTCAGAGAAATAAAGTTTCCAGCCCTTATATGGTATAAACTGATCCAACGACGACTGCAGAAGTAAAGGCTGTGATGTCTGTTCTGAAGAAGTAGAATATTATTAAATTAGTAAAACACAAAGCACTTTTTTCCCGTCTTCCCTTCTACTAGAATCTATAGATTCTAAATTGGATATATCCTCCAGTCTACTATGCATGAATTGCCCTTTCCTTTACATTTGTTGATGCCTGTGTGTTGTGTGTGCCCAAGTGCGTTCACACACATGCCGTTGTACACATCGAGGTCAAATGACAGCTTGCAAGAATCAGTTCTCTCCAACCATGTGGGTTCCTAGGGACCTGACTGAGGGTCATCAGGCTTGGTAGCAGCTACCCTTACCTACTCAGCCATCTACCGGCCCTTTAGTTGTTTCTTTCCCAAGAGACAACAAACTGATCATTGGATGCACTTACCAGAAGTGTGCTTTCCTGTGGCTCTATTCTGGTCAGCTCTGTACTCTCTTTCTCTCCAGCTTCCTGAGAAGTTCCCACCACCTCTTCCTCTTTTCCAGCTTTGGAATCTTCCCCGCCCAAAACCTCTCCCTCTATATGCACCACTCATATCTTCTAAAAGTCAATAGCACACCTAAAAATGCATTAACGAAGTTAGAATGGGGAAATTAATGTATTATGTTTGAGACCAACACATAGACTTGCAAAGTTCCATGCTACAGAATAAACTTTATGTGTATGTAGTTATTCTTTTAATCCCCATCATGATTCAAGGTACACTACAGACGTTTATTCAGCATCAGTTTTCAAGGAACCACCAAGAGAGAAATAAAGACGGTAACTTGAACCTGTTTGCAGTGTTTGAGACTTTAATTACGCTGTACTAGCTGAACATAACCCTCACCTGTATGATACTAGGGAAATATCAAAGCTCAATCTTTGTTGTATTATCTTCTGTTTCAAGCTATCCTAAAACTGTCATAAAGGGAAATAATTCCACTTAAAAATACCTATTCCCTAGCTGCAAACTACTAATGACATATTCTTACACTGCGGTGAAATCCACTAGGAGAGCCTATTCTAAGATTAAGGGGATTTAGTTAATAGCTGACAGGTTCGCAAATAAGTAAACTAATTAAAATTAAAGTCTGTCTGCGATAGCACTGAGATAAAAATATGTCTTCAGGACCCTCAAGATGAGACATTCCATCGGCAACACTACGTTCCACATCGACCCAAGAGGGTAACATACTGAGAAAGGTGCAATTCCAACATAGCGAAGTAAGCCTGAAAAGAGCAATCCCTCACGTCCTGTCGTCCTAACTGCGGGAGTGCCCGAGTCCTCCCGGCTCGCGATGGAGCCGTGGGCGGTGCGCACTCCCACGCAGGGCTACGCGGACACCCGGTGCCAGGGTCGCCGCGCACCAGAACGCGAGACTCAGGGCGGGGAGAGCCGAGCACACCACTACGAGGAAAACTCCGACTTTCTCCGGAGTTCTTTTTTGGCGCGTCTATGACGCTTAAGGAAGCCACGCGAAGGGAGGGCGGGACGACGTGTAGCCAATCAAAGAGCTCAGATAGACGGAAGTCGCCAGGCCTCCCGGAAGCCGACCGGAGGTTGAGGCCGGAAAGCGGAAGCGGCGCGCAGCACGTGGGGGCGGTGCCGACCGAGGGGTGAGTTCCTCCTGGATGTGTGGTGCTGCTGGCGGCTGGAGCGGCAACAGATCTTGGATACGCTCTGGCGTCCATGGAGGCATCAGCGGAGCAGCCAGGCCCACAGCCTCCGCATCCCGGGGACCACTGCATCCATGACGGCGACTTCGTGGTGCTGAAGCGGGAAGATGTGTTCAAAGCAGTGCAAGTGCAGCGGAGAAAGTGAGTAAGTTGCTGGCCTTGGGCAGCGCACACCACCTCCTGGATAATCACCCCCTCCAGTGCCGCACTCTTGGTTCTTTGAATCCGGCCCCCCAGCCGTTGTTGCCACCACTCAGGTCTTCCTATCACAGAGGAATTTTCGCTCTTTGGATAGGATTTCCTCTGCCCCTTTCTCATCCTACAGCACTCTCCTCTCTCTACCTTTCATTCCTCAACCTTCTACCTTCAGCGATAGATCCCCTTCCCAGGAATTGCGTTCTTGGTACTCTCAACCCCCGAAGACGCTTTACTTAGGTTCTTAGGGTCAATTCTGTCACAGAACTTCTCCAACCTTTCACATTGAGATCTCTGCGTTATGTCTGACTCTCATCCCTACCTCCCTCATAAATTCGACCTCCTCCGTAAGAGAGAGGAGGGAGGAGACACAGAAGATTGCTTACACCTAGTCTGGCTTTCAGATAGGCAGATCTCTTCTGTCAACCTCGGGGGAAAATAATCTGTGTACTATGAGTAAGGAAAGGCAGATTCTTGCAGTGTGCAATCACTGTGAGCCCTTCATTTTACATCAAGGTATTAAAGATCCAGGAAAACAGAATTGTTCACAAGCAGTTCAATCAAGAGCTCAGAGCTCATAATTAAGCTTGGTAACTTTCTGGCAGATTTGATTAAGTTATTTAATCCTAATAGCTTATTGATCGTTGGAATTTATTGGAATACTTTGATACAAAGACGTTTTCTTTTGAACTTATAATACTGCTTTGTTATCTGCTTGATCGTTGTGCTGAGGCTCTGTGCATACTAAACAGGGGCTCTGCCACTGGGTCACATTGATAGGGAACCTGGCTTGGAGTTGCACCTTAATTCAGCAGGTCAATTTTATGTTGTTGGGTAGGAGACCCTCAAGAATCTAACAAGGTTTTTTCTCCAGATGTGTGACCTTTTGCTTGCCCCTCAGGCTGGTGTCTCCTTCTCTCCTAGAGGAAATATTTCAACTGTTGCAATTCAGAGGAACAGCTTCCACACTGTAGCTAAGGCCAGTCTGGCCTGGAGTGTAGCATCTTCAACACTATAGTTTACCCAGGGCCACAAATTTTTATCCTGGAAAAGGGCATCACAGGATTGCTATGAGAATAGGAAGGGTACACACACTGATTAACATTTGTCATTACTCAGTAGGTGTTCATTTTATTTCTTGGAAGGGAAAGGGATTTTGCTGTTGCATGCTTCCCTTTGACGTTGCAGTAAATACAGATCTGAGTGATATAGGACAACCTAATGCCCAGCCCTCAGCAGTACCTGTAAATGCTCAGTCCATCTCAAATGTGGAGGTTGCCAGTAATATTCATTTCTAATACAGGTTATTTGGATTTGCCACTTTTCTAATAGAATAACCAGTTAGACAGAGACCAAGAAGTTTTAAAAAATTGTTATCTCAATGATTATTTTGTTGGGGATTTTCTAGTGTGAGTTGCTTGAGGTGTCACAATGCATTCTCATGGCCTGGGAATCCTGGCAGTCATACCTGTGTTGAAATCTGTAGAATCTGTGAGTTTAAGCAAAATGCAGTCAAACCTGTAAAAAGTGTCCCATAAAAGGAATATCTTTTCTTTTTTTTTTTTTTTTCTAAAAGTCAGTGTCTTCCTAGCTTCTTACTAATGTTGGTATCTCTCTCCAACCTGGTTCTCTCTAGTTCTTTGCCAAGTTTGTACACATAAATAGTGCTGTTAACTATCATGAGAAGTTTTTTTAAATAAACTAGACTGAGTACAACTGTTGTAGCATGAATGCAAAAGGAGTCAATTGATTGGTTGCTTTTTCTCCCTCAGAAAAGTAACTTTTGAAAAACAGTGGTTCTACCTGGATAATGCCATCGGCCATAGTTACGGGTCAACATTTGAAGTGAGCAATGGAGGAAGTCTTCAGCTCAAAAAGAAGAAGGAAGAGCCTACTTCAGGTACCCATGTTCAATGTATGACATAGATGTTCTGTAGTTAGCCAAGCAGACTTTCTTTTAATTTGGACGCTCTCCAGGAAACTTAGCTAAAACAAGAGGTGATCCTAAAAATCATAGGCCCAACTTGAGGGGCTGATGGAGTAGAGTAAGTGTGGATAGGAACTTAGGAATAGAAAGATTGCAGATGCAGGCATGTAGCTCAGTTGGTAGTGTACTTACCTAGTGCACACAAGGCCCCAGGTTCATCTGCAGCACTCCATGAATGAGTAAAGTTCTAGAGACATGGAGAACAGAGGATCAGAGTACAAGTTCATATTTAGCTATACAGTGAGTTTGAGGCCACCCCATGCTACACGAGAACTTACTACAGGAACAAACTTGGAGGAGCTAGCAAGGTGGCTCAGCAGCTATAAATAAACACTTGCTCTTTTAGAGAACCCAGGTTCGGTTCTGAACACCCACCTGATGCTCACAATGACCTGTAACTCCAATTCTAGGGATCTGATGCCCTTTTCTGCGTTCATGCATCTAGCATACATCTGGTATACATATATGCAGGCAAGCAAAAACACTCATACACAGAATTAAATCTTTTTTTCTTTTAAAATCTTTTTGAGACAGGGTCTCTCTATATGGTCCCTGAGACCAGACTGATGTTGAACTCACAGAGATCCTCCTTCCTCTGCCTCCCTAGTAGCTCTTAAAAAAAAATTTTTTTTTTAAGAAAACATTGCAAAATCATTTCAAGTCAGGGCAAACAAGATGGCTTAGTGGGTGAAGTATCAAATCTGACATTGTGAGTTCATTTTGATCCCTGAGACCTACCTACACGGTGGAAGGGGAGGACCAACATGTACCGTGTCCTGTGTGAGCCCACACAAACACACATAAAAGTAAGTAATTAAAATGTAACTTTTAATAGTAGTTTTATATCAATATTATCATAGAACAATTTCTTTCCTTAGAGACTAAAGAAGCGGGCACTGATAATCGAAATATAGTTGATGATGGAAAGTCCCAGAAACTTACTCAAGATGATATAAAAGCTCTGAAAGACAAGGGCATTAAAGGAGAGGTAAAAAAGGATTCTTTCCCTTTGTTTGTATGTAACAAATTTGTTTATAATGCCATCCTTGAGGTAAAATGGAGTGTCAGTTAAAATGTGTGTGCAGTCCAGCACATGGGGATTTTGTTTTTATGCTTAGGAATACTAGACTGACTAATAACACTGAAAGTATTAGTAAAAGAGAAGGTAGCAGCTCGCTTGTTTTGATTTGGCCGATCTTCATCTTTCATCTCCCATTCTTGGATATCTCTTTTCCTTTAGCTTAGTTTAAAGGAGTTGTGTGAACAAGGCCCTGGGTTCCATCCCAAACACCAGAACAAACAAGTCTAAATGGAGTTGTTTGTGTTTATTTCAAACCCTAAGTAGAACGTAGAAATGTAGTTGATCTGCCCGGACTTCGTGGAGGAGGTACTGGCGATGACACCTTTGGCTGATTCTGGGGTAAGACAGTGAAGCTTCAGGGAAGCTGCTTGCTACTTTTCTTACAGGAAATAGTTCAGCAGCTGATTGAAAATAGTACAACATTCCGAGACAAGACAGAATTTGCCCAAGATAAATATATTAAAAAGAAGAAGAAAAAGTAAGTCATTTTGTTTGAAATGATTGGAAATAGTACATCTTTCCTATTTACTAAGTAAATATTGCTAAAATAAGATGTTCTAAATTGCTATCCTTCTAACTTCCCTAGATATGAAGCCATCGTTACTATTTTGAAGCCATCTACCCGTATTCTTTCAATTATGTATTATGCAAGAGAACCTGGAAAAATTAAGTACGCTTTGTTTCCTTTCAAAAGTATATTTGGGGGAAAATATGTCTTTAAGAGAGTCATGGTTTTAAGTAAAATGAAAAGCTTGCTCATCTGCATAAAGTGTCCTCCTTCCTCATAAATTGTAAGTCCTTTGACTGTCACCTCAAGCAAACAATAATCTTATCAACATACTTTTTATGAAACAGCTAGAAAAACTGTTATTAAATGTCAAGGTTTATTTAACTAAAAGTAAGTGGGTCACTTTTCTTTTTCCTTAGCCACATGAGATATGATACACTAGCCCAGATGTTAACGTTGGGGAATATCCGTGCTGGCAATAAAATGATTGTCATGGAAACATGTTCAGGCTTGGTGCTAGGTGCCATGATGGAACGAATGGGAGGTAAGTCTCGGTGTTTTCAAATTCAATAAACTACCCTGATGTGAAGCAAGAATAGTGACCTCAGTAGACCTCTATGGCTCCTGTCCCAAAGCCTTCCTGTGTGGTCTGTTTCTCCCCCACGAAGGCTGGGTGTCCTGTGTGTTTGGCCTTTCCCGCTTTGGTGTGTGTGTGGAGAGGGGGGTGATTCTGAAACTGCAGCTGGCTAATGATTTGCTGTCAGGCAATGAGGGGCCAAATAGGGATATTCTCAGGGATATTCTATCTTGGGATACACAAGCTGGCCTGTCTGATTTCTCTGACTCTGGAGGATGAAAGCATGCATCCACCCTCAGTGGGGATGAACAAGGAAAAAGCAAGCAGTCCCAAATCCTTAACCTCCAAACAAGATCACTGGGTCTCCCATGGTGTCCTGAGGAGATAAGCTTTCTTTAAGACTCCTCATTTGCTTTGGAATTCCGTTCTCTCTGTAGGGAATGGGATATTCATAGCTTTCAGGGACCTCCAGATGGGCTGCAGCATTCTTCATTCTCTAGACATGGGAGAAGAATCATAAGTTAGTTATGTAAGGATGTGGGCTTTGCACAGTCTGGATTCCCCCCATTTGTTGGTTTTGTCTGTTCAGGTTTTGGCTCCATTATTCAGCTGTACCCTGGAGATGGACCTGTTCGGGCAGCAACAGCTTGTTTTGGATTTCCCAAATCTTTCCTCAGTAGTCTTCATGAATTCCCCCTCAACAAAGTAAACAGTCTTTTAGATGGAACATTTTCTGCTGAGATGCTGTCCTCAGAGCCCAAGGACAGCACTCTGGTTGAAAAAAGTAACGGTGAACATGAGGAAAAACAGATATCTGAACAAGCCGATGAGGACAGCATGGCAGAAGCCCCGGAAAGCAACCCAGAAGAACAGAGAACAATGGAAATTATTCCTCAGGACACAGAGAATAAGGAGCCTAAAGAAAAAGGAAGCAAGAGAGACTATGTAAGAATGTCAAGAATCATTATTCTTGTAATAGCCTCGGAGCCCCAGTCAGTCCTTTAAGTTATAAGATGTGGTTAACTTTGAAACATTAGGTTTCCTAATGTTTCACTGGAGGGAAACCGGTGTGTTTGTACACAACCGTGTGACTTAGGGGCTTCTTGGGGTGACTGTAGCAGCTGTAGTTTCGGCAGAGCCCAGGTAACTTGAGCATTGACATCTGAGTGTAGGCTTCCTTGTAAACAACCCCTTCTGTTGTCGCCTAAATACCACTGCTCTGCTCTGATAGGGCAGAGCGTTCTTGTAAAACTGACTGAATGACCTCAGTGCATTACTTTCTTACTGTTCAGATTCAGGAAAAACAGAGAAGACAAGAAGAGCAGAGGAAAAGACATTTAGAGGCTGCTGCTCTGCTGAGAGAAAGAAATGCAGATGGGTACGTGGATGAAGGACACAGGACACACTAGGTGCTGGGCATTCTGCTTTGAAAGCATAGGCATTTTCTCCCCACTGTCTGCCCTGATCCTTGTGGAAAATAGAGGAAGATTTTCTCTTGGTTGTTGTGTTTTGGTTTTTTGGTTTTTTTCTTTCTTTTTTTTTTTTTTTTTTTTTTTTTTTTTAGAAAGACTGGGTCTCAGATGGTGCAGCGGAATTTTAAGAGCACACACTGTTCTTGCAAAGGACCAGAGTTAGGCTTCCAGCATCCTGTTCAGTGTCTCATAAACTGTCCATAATTCCAATTTTGGGGAGATCCAACAGCTATGGCCTCCTTAGACACCTGTACACTCATACACATATCTACCTGCATACATACACATTCATAATTTTAAAGTAAATCAGTTACTTTATCAAAGCTTTTATTTTAAGGTTAGTAAAAATAAGTAGTTGGTTGGTTGCTTTTTAAAGAAAGGCCAAGTTCAGCAGAAGGGGGAGTTGGTAGTGCTGATTTGATAGTTTCAAGGAAATCTGAACATTCAGCAATGACTAACGGATAGGACTGAACAGTCCTGTTAGGTGCAGGGGTGGGGCATTAAGATGGCTATAACACTAGCCAAAATCAAGCTAATGAAAACCCCTGTTGGAGGCTAGAGAGATGGCTAAGTGGTTAAAAAAGAATGCTTGCTGCTCTTACAGAGAACTGGTGTTCAGTAACCAGCACCCATATCGGCGGCTCACAGCTAATTATTGCTCTGGTTCCAGGGGATCTGATATCCTTGTTCTCTGCAGACACACACACACACACACTGAAAAACAAAATACATCTTTAAAGAAAAAGAGCACCTGCCGGTGGGAAGTGAATTCAAGAAGTGCATTGGATTTGCTTCCAGATGATCTAAAAGCAAGAATATCCTACGTATAGCTTCCAGGCAGCACAAACGCTTACAACCCAGTTCCTTAGAAATGAACAGCTCATGATCTCATTCTACTTTGAAGTTCTAGAATGTTGTACTTGGGTAACTCAGGCTGGCCTACTCCTTATACAGTTCAGGCCAACCTGAAACTCGCAGCAATCCTGCCTTTTGCCTCAGCGTTAGGATTTTAGCTGTGCACAACCTTACCTGGTGTATGTGATCATTTTAAAAACACATAAAACCCATATTCCTCTTGGAGGGTGTAGTGGAACATTCTCTCTGCTTTCCTTGCAGTTTGATCGTGGCCAGTCGTTTCCACCCCACTCCGCTACTACTGTCTTTGCTAGACTTTGTGGCCCCATCAAGGCCATTTGTGGTCTACTGTCAGTATAAAGAGGTAATGCTGAGACAAATCTGAATTTTGATCTCCTCCCCCCCCCCAACCCCCGTTCCAATGGTAGCTGAGGAAATATCTAACAGGATTCTGTTTTTGCCCTTAGCCTTTGTTGGAATGCTACACAAAACTTCGGGAGAGGGGAGGGGTCATCAACCTGAGATTGTCGGAAACCTGGCTCAGAAATTACCAGGTAAGCATTCTCACTGCCAGACTCCAGACCGCTGGCTCCTTGCAGCAATACTGCCAGTCGTCAAGTTGTTACATAGAGCCACTGTTTACACTGTCTGCCTGTCATTCAGAAAATACCCTGGCTTCCTGGCCTTCTTTTCATATCAGGGTGCACTGTTCTATAACTGTACAGGGCCTTGGGGATGTTTGGCTTGTTTGGCTTTTCGAGACAAGTTTCTCTATGCAACCGTCCTGGCTGTCCTGCAACCCTCTTGTAGACCAGGCTGGCCTCAGACTCAGGAAATCTGCCTGCCTCTGCCTCCCAAAGGCATTCCCCAACATGGCCAGCTAGTCCAGAGTTATTTAAACTGCAAATAATTAGTTATACTTTGCTATTTATAGAGTTGGATAACTGAAAATGAAATGATCCTGTCCTCTGCTGCAAAATCTTCCCAGCCAGTTCAGGGTTTGCTGGTGAGAGGTGTGTTATTCCACACTGAGGTGTATTCATGTTCATTCTCTCCCTTACCTGCCCCCTCTGGCAGTGTTAGATATCAGCACCAGAATCTCAGGATGCTGGCCAAGTTCTCTACCACTGAGCCACACCCCCAGACAGATACAGATACATGCCAAGGTAGAAGTTCTATAAGAGATTTTTTTAGGACAAAGGAGCCTTTAGTATATATGTATATGGGGGGGGGGGATTATATAGGTCAGTACTTACAACAGGAAAGGAACAGCCCACATCAATTCTCTGAGGAAGTTTCAGGCAGGCCATTGGGGAGCCAGGAGTAAAGGTATTCATGAAGGGACCTCCTGAACTGAGCAGGAGTGGTCTGATCTTGTGCCTAGACTCAGATTGGTCTCAGTATGGTCCCTGCAGCAGATCCCTAAGTCACAGCAGCTGGAGAATTTTTACTGCCTGTGCCTGAAGGGAAGTTGGAGGGGGCACTTCTGCATTAGCATGCCCCTCACCTGTCCTGCTGGTTGACATCTGTACCTACCACAGCAAGGATGCTGCCAAGTCCAAAGTAACTGTTTCATGTTGCAAAGGTAACAAGTGAGAAGAGCCTTTGCTGGGGTTAACCGCACAGAAGTGTTCATCCAGTGTTGCTTCTCCATATTCTCCATATACCCCACACCCCATTGTTGTCCATGAAGCTTCCTAGAGCCAGAGTTACTACGGAAACCATTCACCATTCCCCCTCACACTAACATTCAATTTGAGAGAAACAGGGCTTCAGTTATGTTTTGTTTAAAATAAATAGATCTCTGTTTTTATACTTTCTTCTGCAATGTACTATGAAGAAGTGGTCTTATTAAAAGTTAGTCATTTTAGGGCTGGAGAGATGGCTCAGCTGTTAAAGGTTAGGCCCACAACCAAAAGTTTGTCATTTTAAATCAAGAGAATATGTCATTTAAATTCTTATTTTTGTTATGTTGTCGACATAGTTTGTAAGAATGCAGAAAGACATGAATATCTTTTTTTTTTTTTTTTTTTTTTTTTTTTTTTTCCTGTCTTGGTTAGGTTTTGCCAGATCGGAGTCATCCCAAATTGCTGATGAGTGGAGGTGGAGGGTACCTTCTATCTGGCTTCACTGTTGTCTCAGATAGCCTTCGAGCAGACCCCAGCCTCAAGTCTTGTGCAAGCACTTTAGACTCACACGAGACTGAGGAGCCAGCAGCTAAAAAACAGAAATGCGTTGGATCTGGCTCTTAAGAGAGTACTGTTTGTTCTGAGGCATTCTGCAGCTGATAACTACACTTTAAATGACATCACTAAATGGTTTTTGTTTCCTATCCTAAGAATGTGTGTGTGCACCTGTCCCTGCGAAGAAGAAACAAGCCTTTTGTTGGCTTCCGGTGCAGATGGAGTTAGCCAGCACTGCAGGTCCAACAGGCAGTAATGGGTGGATACAACAGCCATGTTTCCTGAACAGTCTGAGCACTTAAAAGTACTCTGCAAATACCTTGGGGATGTCAACATCTTGAAGATGTTGATATGTAAGACTTAGTTTATATTTTAAGTGAAGAGGAATAATACAAGCTAGCTAAAACATGATGAGCAGTGAAAGGAAATTCCCTTTCATCCATTCTCTTCAACCTAAGCAATATGGATGTGTAAGCCTATGAGATTTACAGTACCAAAAAATGTCTGCCCTGTGCCCTGCAATGGAATAAGCTTTTTTAAATACTGGATTTTATTATTTTAATAGTTGACTGCCTGAGGAACTTACTTTTCTGCCTCTCCCCTTGTTGGTGCACAGAAAGGTTTAGTAGGTGCATTTTTGCAGTGGTTCACCTATCTTCTTTGTTCTAAATAGTTATTAGAACTTCTGTGTACTATTAAACAATTGGGTTTTGTGTCGGTGTTGGTATATATACATACACATAGATGTATCTGTATATGTCAACACAGACAGAATGTACTACCTGTAGTGGGGGAGAGAGAGAATGAATACACAGTTTATTTGAACTGTGATAAAGACTTGTGCAAGACAGACCAGCTCTCAGTGCGTTGGGATCACTCCTTGTCAAGTATTTCAAGTGCCTTTTTCTGGGATTACTCATGCTGGTCTCTGAAGGTCTGCTGGACTGAGGTGGGTGGCCTTTATTAGCTCTGAAAAAAAATTACTTTTCCATCTCTATTGTAAGAAATAAAATTGTCTAGAGCAACTCAAGAATCATAAGTCCTGCTCATTAGAACCTGCTCGCCTTGTGCAGTGTTCATCACAGATGCCTATTCAGTCAGGAGCATCTTGGATGACTTTTCCTAATAGCATGTGCTGTTCTGATCATGGCTGCTGTGATTACCAACTGTGGTTTTTGTTCCTTTTCCTCTAAATAATGACTTAAAGAATAAAATTTTCTACACTGAAGCATGTGTCATTAATGATAATGAAGCCACATTTATCACATTGAACTGACAGTGACATGTGGTCTCTGTGGTAGAAAACACTGGAATGTGCCACATGCAAGTCACATGTAAGGAGAATGTAATATTACATGGTGGAGACTCAGTAGGACTTGGTCACTATTAAAATGACCTCAGCTGGTATCCAAGTTCTGTTCCATTCTCTGAATCCTTGATTCTTCCCTCCAAGGGGGGGGGGGGCGGTCCTAAGGTCTGAGCTACCAGAGCCCTGCATGCCTCAGAACACTGGAAAATACCTCAAGATTCGGGAAAGGGGGGTGCTGCCAGCCATCTCACTAGCCTAATATATGAAAATATGAGTATTTGCATGTCATTTGAAAGTATTGGTTGTGAAACCTGCAACAATACAAATACTAGAGACACCATCCTAAACATCCAAGATCTGCAGCATTCGGATACTTTTTCCTGTGATCTGTGATGTGTAGCACCAGGGAGGAGAGTGGACCTAACCACCTTTCTTTGAAATCGCTCTAGGCTAACACTGATTTTTATTTAAAGAAAACAGAAGATGCTGGGGCAGTGGTGATGCATGCCTTTATTCCTAGCACAGAGACAGAGGTAGGAGGATCTCTTGTTCATGGACAGCCTGGTCTACAGAGTAAGTTCCAAGACATCCAGGATACACAGAGAAACCCTGTTGAAAAGATTGCATGGTTCAGCAGTGTAGTTTAGTGTGTAAAGGTGCTTGCTGCATTAAGCCCAGTGTTCTCCAGAACCCACATAAAGTGGAAGAACAGAACCAACTCCACATGACCATGCATTGACCACACATGTGGCCAGTGTGTACTCACACATCTACACATCATACACAAATTAGTTTTTCTGAGTTTATTTGGACTTAACTGTGAGCACAGGTCAGATTCTAAGACTGAAAAGCTACTTAAAGAACAAGGAATAAACTCTTAGCTATCCTGTTGACATTTATAAAGTACCCACAGCTTGTTGAGCCTTTATCCTTTATTCATTGGAATAAAAATTTTTGCCGGGCAATGGTGGCACATGCCTTTAGTCCCAGCACAAGAAAGTGGATCTCTGAGTTCACCCTGGTTTATAGAGCTAGTTCCAGGACAGGCTCCAAAGCAATACAACAAGAAAACAAAAACTTTTATGATGAAATTTTTTCATAAGAGGTTTTTAAATGAGTTTTATAAAGCTATACTAACTCCAGAAGTCACACGGTCCAGTGTTCCATAAGACATTTTATGTGTGTCTCTGGTGTATGTCAGTAATGGCATAGGCATGCTCTGCTGTACATATAGAGATAAGAGGACCCTGCTAAGAGTCAGTTCTCTCCTTCCTCCATGTGGATAGTCAGTCTTGAACAGCAAGTACTTTTATCCCCTGAGCCATCTCCTAGGCCCTGAAGCAACTTAAAGGGGAAAAAAAACTCACAGTAAGGAGTGATAGGCTTAGTAGATAAAGTGATTTCAATCTGTTAAGAGCAGTTTCCCTCCAGCAGTGGTCCCAGGGCAGAGTCAGTCCAGAGACTCTACTAGTCATAAAGCTGTTGGCCAATGGCTAGAACTTATTGGCTAGCTCTATCTGAAATAACCCATTTCTATCTTAAGTGTTTCCATGTTATCTTACTGGAGAGAGGGTCTGAACCTCTTACTCCTTTTGGTCCTACATTTCAACTCCTCTTTACTACCTTTACCAGGATCCTCCTTGTCTCCTAGTCCCACCTACCTTGCCTTCCTATTGGCCAACAAAGCTTTATTTATTAGCCAGTAAGAGAAAAGTATTTACAAAATGACATCTCGATCATCTCTTTTCTGTCAAAATAAAAAGAAGGGCTTTAACATAGTAAAATATATAACAAAGCAGTTGTCTAATAACCATAGTTAGCAATATTTAGTCCATTAACATCAGGAATTAAAGAAAATATTCTGTCATCCATCCTGTCTTTATGAATCTAAAGTCTTATATGTAACTTATCTTTAATCCTAACTAAGGAAAACTATAACCATAGCTATCTGTCTTTCACTCCATCAAAGACCACAGAAGGATAATATATAAACTCTAGAAATGACAGACAACTCACTGCCTGGTCAGTCACCCGAAGTTCTTCTGTAATGTTTCATCTTCAGCCTACAGGCCATAGTGTGTCTAGCAGACTCCTCAAGAAAGCAGGAAACGTTAAACTGTCCACTGGCAATTTGCCATTCACTTTTCTCTGTATCCTGCAGAATGTCTGGCAGACTCTTCCATGAAGCAGGAATCTTTACAGCAATGTCCATCTTGTTTCAGCAGTCACTTTTCTGTGGGTCCTGAATGTCCAGTTTATACAGCATCAAGTCAAACAGTCCAGACAAGAGCAGTATGTTGCTCAAATAGCTAGTCTTGCTATATTGGGAGTAAATTCCATAACAAGTTTCTTCGATGTCCATCTTCCTTTGTGACACAGGTGGTGTTGCCAGGAGCAATTATGCCTCACTGTCAAGAAAAACCCTAAACCATTTTAAATGCCATATTCTGTAGGTCTTTGAAAGGTTTGAAGAATGCCTATCCATTTGAAATATATCGCTATATATCTATAAAAAAAACTAACAAGCCTAACTATAAATTTTGACTATTATAGGTAACTATAACTTGTACTTAATTATACATTACATTTTAAATGAGCTATATAAACACAATACATATCTAAACAAGAGAAATATACATATCACAAAATTGACCTTAAATTTGTATCAATAAGTGAAAATTCATTTCAATACAAAGTATTCATTCCTATACCATAATCCCCCTTTTCCCTTTAAAAGAGAGTAGTTGTGATCATTAACCATTTATAACCAACCCCATTTAAATGAAAACAAACATTTATAGACAATACTTGGGAATTTGGGTGTCGTTTTTCTCCAAACTGCATCCTACTGGTTGGGGATGCTGTAATACCATGGGAATCCTAAGAAAACGCAGAAATACTGGCTGTAGTCTGCAAGGCTGCCTTGTCCCAGCTGTTTTGAATGTTTGATCACCTGGGACACTGTTTCAGGGGGTCTTGCTTGATCAAACCATGTTTGTGGAGGGAATCCACAGCTTTTTGTTTTCTGTAGAAACAAAAGTAGAAATTATTTTCCCCAGTAACCTGTCCTTAGACTTAAATTTTGAAGTCAAAGAATTTTTAAAATATATAAATTGGATTAATTCAGCAGCATTGATAATCAAGTGTATTTTAGCAGTTGTTGTTCCTTCCTTAGCAATTCAAAGACAACACAATAGCATACAATATCCATACTCTATGTATTTCACATCTTTAGGTGGCTTTTTTATAACTCTATTTCTTTTACTTCTATTTTTTCATTTTTTGATACAGGGTTTCTCGGTGTAACTTTGGCTGCCCTGGAATTAACTCTGTTCACCAGGCTTGCCTTGAAATCAGATCTGTTTGCATCTGCCTCCCCAGTGCTGGAATTAAAGGCCTGTGCCATCACACCCAGCTACTCTTTCTTTCTTCCTTCCTTCCCTTTTTTTTTAAGCCACTTTATCCTGCTTTTTTTTTCTCTCTCTCTCTCCCCCAATCCTATATATATTTTAAAATACACTGTAAACTTTTAGAGGTTTCTCTTTATCTTAATCGGCCTTTACTGTAAATTTTTATCTTTTTCTGGCCACGAATCTTTTATCTGCTAAACAACAACATTGTTAAAATCAAAGCGGCAGCCGTTTTAGCCAGCTGTTCGTGCACACCATTTAAATGTTAGCAGGGCCTCTTAAAAGAGCCATGTAGTTTTTTCTGTTTATGCCAAGTCAGGAAACCTCCCTTAAAGGAGCCTCTCAAAACAGAGTCTGCCCTAGAAAAGGGCACCAAGAAGACTTGCTTGTCTCTGTTCTTTTGTTACTAAAAACTCTTTTTAAGCGTTTGTCAAGTTTTAAGTGGAAGTTCTTAGTACCCACATTTTGTTATGAGCACTTTCCCACCATCCTGGTCCCATTGCCTCATCAGCCCCAAATAACACACAGAGACACTGTATTAGAAATAAAGCTGTTGGCCTGTTACTAGCGTTTCTTATTGGCTATCTCTGTCTTAAATATTAACCCATTTCTGTCAATCTAAGTGTTTCTACGTGGTCTTATCTTACTGGAAAGAGGTTCCGGACCTCTTACTCCTCTTGGTCCTACATTTCAACCCCTCTTTACTTCCTCTCCCAGGATCCTCTTTGTCTCCTAGTCCCACCTATCTTGCCTTCCTATTGGCCAACAAGGCTTTAGTCATTAACCAATAAGATAAACATATTTACAGAATGGCATCTCCCATCAGCCATCCATACATGGTACTTGAAGTTCAGAAACAATGTAAAGCCAGACACTGTAATCACAGTACTCCTATGGTAAACTGGGAAGCAGAGACAGCAATGTTGTGGGATAGTCTTTTTGTGCACTGTGAAAATGTGTGTCTGCCAAGTCACCTTCTGATTGGTTTAATAAAGAGCTGAACAGCTGATAGCTAGGCAGGAGAGGATAGGTGGGACTTCTGGGACCTAATAGGAACTGTGGGAAGAAAAGGCAAGATTCGCTAGCAAGTCATGGAGGAAGTGGGACAGTACAGAAGAGAGGTAGTGAGTATATTAATGTAGATTAATACCAATGGGTTAGCTTAAGTTTTAAGGACTAGTTGGGAGCCTAGATCTCCAATATATCTCGTTTGAAGTTTTGGTCTGTGGAAAGGGTATTGTTGGTGGTTTGGTTTGGCCAGTTTTTGTAAGTTAATTGGTATACTGATTATTAATACTGCTGAAACAAAATATCAAAGCAACTTAAGGGTTTATTTTGGCTCTCAGTTGAAGGGGAAGGCAAATGTGGCAGCAAAGGAGTGGAAACAGGTGTGAAGTTGCTGGTGGGGCATTCACAGGGACAGATGCTGGTGCTGAGCTTTCTCTTTTTCTTTTACCAAGTACAGGATTCAGCCCTGGGATCTTTTCACCTCAAGTAACCCACTCTGGA